CTATCAAATGGATCCTATATAGAAATACACTATTTCTCTAAAGAATCATTTATATTTATATTTTAAATAGAAATCATTTTTTAGTTTTCATTTACAAGTTATTTTTCTGTAAAATCCTTATAAAAGTTTAATAATTAAAAAAATAAATTTTATAAAGAAATGCCCATTAATTTATCTAAATAACCTTTTTTTTCTAAAACTTATAAAATTATTTCCATATTATCCTCAAAACTTAAACAAGTAAATTATTAAATAAGCTTTTTTTTTTCATATGTATTTATTTGGATTTAACTTTTATCAAATTCAAAAAGTTAAAAATCTTATAAACTGACTAAATATTTGTTTTCTATTAAAAAATAAATCGTCATTAATACATAAGCATAAGAACTTAAAAAACTTTTTCCTTTTATATTATTTTATTGTCCAAAATATTTAAATAAAATACATAAAAGTCTGATTTTTTCATGGATGCATACATATGTTTTTATCAATCTAGAATTTTAATAACCAAAAGGATTATCATATATAATATCTATTTATAATTGTTTACTTATTTATTCTATTGATATATATGGAACTCTAATTTTTGTATTATTAATAATACTTATAGTATAATCATTTTCTAAATTTTTAAAAAAAGAAACCAAATATTTATATATATCATCTAGTATTTCATAGTTTGGAATAGTTTCATTTATATCTAGTTTTACATTTATATCTAAATCTGAATTCTATTAAAAAGTAAGTCCCTAATATAAAGAGCCATAAAATTATACAATTGTTTTTTACTTGTATTTTTTAAATAAAAATTAAGAAATTAATTATATTATTTATTCAGAAAAATTATAAATTTGTTAAATTTGAGAACTTTTTATCTATATTTTTTCACATTTTTATATTAAATAATTTTCTATTTTTTCATCATTTTTTATATAATATTTTTTATGTTTTTATTCTTTAAAAAAATCATCTTAAAATAAAATATAGGTATCAATTTATTCTTATATAGGGTTTACAGTTATTATATTTTAATTTCTTATTCTAAAATATATTTATTGCTTTAAATTTTCATAAAAATCTTTTAGTATATATTTATTTTCATTTAAAAAATATAATAAATTAATCATTGTTTGTATTTATTTTTAGCATTCTAATTTTCTTTTAGTTATAAACCTTTGTAATTGATCGTTAAATTTTATATTGTATGAAAATATTAGTTAAAAATGCTTTCTTTGTATTTTTATAAAACTTTCTCTATCAAAATTTATTGTTTATTAAGAATAATTTTCATACAATTCTTATATAAAGAAATTCATTTTTATTAATTAATATTTTTAGTATTATATTAGTATTTTTTTATTTAAATTAAAATAATTTATATACATTATTCAAAATTTAACAAAGATTTTACTAACTTTTTTTTTTTTATTTATTTATTTTTCGAAAGGAAAGAAAAGAATAATTTTCCTATATTTATTTATTAAAAAAAAATATACATTTTTTATTTTATAAAAAAAAATATCTTATATTTATATAACTAAAAATTAAAAATATGTTCAACTATATAAATAAATGTTTTTTTCTTTAAAATAAAAAGACTAGTCTTTAAAAAAAACATTTAATCTTTCTATTAAAAAATCATAATAACATTATAAACTTGGAAATTAATTATAATCTGAAAATTAATTTGAAAAGGCTATTTTTAATTATAGTTTAAGCTTAAAATATAATCCTAAAAATTATGAAACTGTATTCAAAATGGGAATATCATATATGTAATTATAAAATTATCATTAAGCATTAAAAACTTTTGATAGAATCAAACAAGTAAAATAACTTAATAATAAAAAAGAATTTTATTTAAATAAAGCTAAATGTTATTAAGCCGAAGGATAAATAGTGGAAGCAATATAAACATACCATTTACTATTAGAAATAGAACCTGATGACGCATAATTATATTTTGATTTGGGAATTTTATATGAATTTTTAGGAGATAATACAAATATTTAAAAGGCTTTACTTTTATATGAAAAAGCATTTAGTTTAGATTAAAATTTAAAAGAAGCAGAAGCTGGTATATAAAGATGTGTATAATAATAATGATTATTTTAATAATCTAATATAAAAAAAAAAAATTGTTTGTATATATATAATTATAAATAAATATATGTTTATATATTATTAAAAAATAAAATATATATATTTAAAATACTCAATATAATAATATAATTATTATATAAAGTAATAAATATATATTTTATATATTAAATTGTATTTTTAATAAAAATATGTTTGAAATATATAAATTTTATTAATATTGATATTATGATGTAAATTTTTATAAATATATATATATTAAAAAATTTTATATTATAAGGATATTTATTATTTATTTTATCTTAAAAAACAATATTTTTAAATATTAATATTATATATATAAATTTACTATTAAAAAAGCAATTATAATATTAAATATCACTAAATATATTTATCTTTTTTATGTAATTTTTCTATTTAATAAATATTAAAATATTTTATATTTATAAATATAAAAATATCTTAAATTAATTGTTTAAAAGTATTACTTTAATATTTTTATACTTATAATATGTTTCAAATTATAAAACGTTAATTCTATAAAATATTTATTTTGTAAATATAAATACAATATGTTTTCTAAAGTGTTATATATAAAAAATAAATATATTGTATAACATATATATATATAAATATTTTATATATCATTATATATTAAATATTTTTTTTTATTTTATATATCTTATTATTATTTTTAAAATATATATTTTTTTTTAATTAAAAAATATTTTTAATTTATATTTTATAATTTATATTATATGATATTATTTATGTTTAAAAAAATTATTATTTGATATTTATTTTTTTAGTTAATTAAATATATTGCATAAGCATAATTGTTATTTTATAATAATAATTCACTTTTATTTTAATTTTTCTAAAATTACAATAAATCAATCTTTTTTTTTAATATATGTTAATTACATTAATTAATTTATAATATTTGTTATTTATGCTAATTTAAAATAATGTATTATATATTTATTTTAATTAATTATAGAAAAATTTTAAAATAAATTTTTAATTAGAAATTAAATAATATATGCATAAATATATATATATATATATAAATATTAAAACTAAATAATTAAACAATTATTTAGATAAATTACTTTTTTTTAAATAAATATCCTTCTTAATAATATTATACTTTGTAATTAATTACATTAGAAAACTTATAGAAATTATTAATTTTTAAATATAGATTAAACTTAAATTAAATTAATTAAATAGTTAATTAATTGAGATTAATATAAATATAAAAATAAATAAATATATTTCATAATATTTAATTATTTTTTAAATTACAGAATAAGTAAAATTATTTATAATAAAAGTTTATAAAATAAATTATGTAGAAAAAAAACTAATGATTCTTTTAAATATGTAAATTAATATAATTTTATTATTTTATATATAGAAATAATAAAGATATATTATTTTTAAAAATTAATTGACATTTATTTATTTTTAGACTAAAATAAAATAAATATATATAAATATTAAAATTAAAATATATATATATATATATATATATATATATATATATATATTTTAAATTTAATTAGTATATTAGATAATTTAATTATATTTATTTTACTTTTTTAAATCATATATGAATATAAATAAATTTTTTTAATATTATTAGAATAAAAATTTAGTCTTAGAAAAAAATATTTTTATATCTATTTTTTATTTAATATATATATATTTATATTTAATATAAAATTTAATATAATATGATATATATATTATATTTTTAATAATTATTATAATTTTTTATAATATTATATACTATTAAATTTAATTTAAAATTATTGAAAATTAATTTAAAACTATGTTTATATTTATATTATATACAAAATAAATAATAAAAAAATGCCAAGTGGTTAATTATTTTATAAAATATTTATATTATTTAATCTATTATAAAAATAAATAATATTAATGGGAAACAAAAATTTATCATAAAATACAATTTGTTTATCATGTTCTAATTTAGAGTAAGAAAATTAAATCTCGTTCGATTAAAATTAAAGCTTTTAATTATAAAAATATAAGAACTATAGTCATTATTCATCTGATTTTTAAATTGAACAAAAGTACATATATTTAAATATGAATAAAAAAGATAAGTATTTTTAGATATTATTTTTATACAATATAGATTATGTAGAAGATAAAAATATATTTTATTAAACCCTTTCAAAGCAAAAATAATAAACAAGCTAAAATATATTAAAGTCTCATTTAATAATAAATAAATTTTAAATAGATTATAAAATTTAATTTTAGATTTTAAAAGAAAATATTGACTAAGAAGAAGAGGAAGAATGTTATGTATAAATTAAATAAAATAAAGTAATGTAATTCTTGTTATGATTTAAAATAATCAATAAGTTTCCTATTTAAAAAAATAATAAAAAAAATTAATCGTTTAATTAAAAATAATATCTTGGTTTTTGCGGTGTTAAATAAATAATATAGTTTGTGTTAGAAAAACATATAATTTAAATGAATAAATAAAGCAATTAAATTTTGTATTTAAAAACTTTCAATTTAAGGAACTTAATTTTAATTAAGAAGAAAATATTAAAGAAAATATTGAAAATATTATTAGACAATCTATTATTTATTAAGAAAATGAAATTAAAAATTCGAAAGTTATAATCTGATATATAACAATAAAAATATTTTTTTAATAAAAATAAAGATATATATGAAATTATATATAAATATGTATATATTTATTAAAAAAAATAAAAAAAATATTGAATTAAAAATTTTTAATTTATATGTTTATTAAATGTATATATAACCTCTATATAAAAAAAAAAAAATATAACAAATTATATTTTTAAATTATCTTGAGTGTGTTTGTGTTTTTTTTTTTTCTTTGTTCAACTTTTGAATATTAATATAGCCATATATCCATGATAATACATATGTAATAAAGTACTACTTTAAACAGTTACATCATAAGCAAAACCTTCCCCTAATTTAATTTTTTTTTTGTTAAAAAAGAAATTTTATCTTTTTATTTTTTTGACAATATTTTTTTTTTTACCTATTATACATTACCAACTTGCACCATATTTTTTATCTAACGTTTCTTTGATTATTTTGGCTGCTAACTAATTTTATTATTATTATTATTTATTTTTTTTTGAATATTTATTTCGAATATAAAGTTTATTATTTATATATTTTATGTAACTTCATTATTAGGAGTAGCTTAACCATCTATTGCAGATTATATTATATCTTAACATTCAGAACACATTTCTGGGTTCATGTCATGTTATACTACTATGGCTTTACTTTCCATTAATTTTCTAAGTTCTTAAAAATCCATATCACATATTTGTTTTTCTTATTCCATTTTATAAATATTTATTTTTTCCTTTCTTTTCTTTTCTTTTTTTTTTATATGTAATTTTATAAAAGTAAATAAATATTTTTTATTTTTTTGTTCAAAAAATGTTTTAAAAAAATGTTATCTTTTTTTTTATAAATTTTAAAATAATATAATTAAAAAAATTTAAATAAAAAATTTATTAAAATTATATTTAATAATTTTTAGTTATATATATTTTTTTTTTTTTCATATAAAATTTAATATACTAAGAATAAAAAAATAATTGATAATAAGTTTTTTATTTTAGAATAAATTATTCTTAAGATTTATAAACATCTTTTTATTTATAATGTAGAATATTTATATTTTTTTAGCTATTGTAAAAAAGTTAAATTTATAATTATAAATATATTTATCAAAATTATATTTGTAATAACATAAAATTTTAAATATATATTTTATTTCTCTAAATAAATCTAAAAAAAAATCTTAATTTAATTAAATTAATATATTTTTAAAGAAAAATTAAATTAATTTTATATATTTATAAGGATATAATTATAACTTTTGACTAATAATAAAAATTAATTACTTTTTTTATATGAAAGTGTTTATGTTTTTTCAATTGTCTTTTATCTTTTATTTAATAATTTATGAAAATATTAAGGAACTAGAAATATGAAATTTTATAATAAAAAAAAAGAAAAAATAAATAATTTATTTAATTTTATTAATTTAAAAATAAAAACATCATAATTTAATAGTATATAATATATTATATATAATTATTATTATTTTTTTTTTAAAAAAAATAATTTATTAAAAAAAAAAAAAAAACTAAAAAAAAAAAAAACAAATGAACGGAAAACGAAAATAAAATTAAGAAATGCAATCATCTTTAACAAATAATTTATTAGAAAAAAAATAAAATAAGAATTATAATAGGAAGAGAGTACACATTATTCACATACTTAATAAAAAATTTGTTAGACATACCAAGATACATAAAATGAGGAAGAATACGATGAACCTTTAGAATAAGAATAAGAAGATGAATTTAATTCTTAAAATAAATAGGCATAAAAAGGTTCTCGTTAAGATAATTCATTAAGCGTTCTTACAAAAAGGTTCATTCAACTTATTTAATAATAAAAGAATTAAACAATAGATTTAAATGAAGCTGTTAAATTATTAAAAGTATAAAAACGTAGAATATATGATATTACTAATGTTTTAGAAGGTATTTTTTTATATAGAAAATTAATATATTGAATTAATTAATTTATATATAAAAATATATATCCATTATTGAATTTTTTTGGGAAAGAGTTTTAATATGTCCTATGTGATTTTATATTAGGATATTTAATAAATATTTACATGGATAAATATATTTAAATACAAAAATAATTCTATATAATTATTTTTAAAATGCAAATTAATAATTTTTTTTTTAAAAAAAATAAAAAAAACTAATATACGATTTTATTTATATATATTTTTTTTTTTAAATTTTTTTTTTTTTTTTTTTTTTTTTTATAAACCGCAAAAATATAATTTTATTTTTTTGGAGGGAAAAAAATAAATAAAAAAAATATCAATTTTTAATTTTATTCAATTTAAAAGGAATCGGATATATAGAAAAAGTACACAAAAATAAATTGAAATGGGTCGGCGGTACAGATGATCCTGAACTTCAATAAGAAATAAGCTAAATGAGATAAGAACTAGAATAATTAGATAAATAAGAAAAGGAAATGGATTAATGGATAAACCATTTACATGAAAGTTTGAAAAATACATTTAATAATTCTGATGAAACATCTAAATATGCATATTTAACATAAGAAGATTTTAAAAATATATCTAAAAAAACATAATAAGAATCAAATGAAAATATGTTCATTATAACTGCTCCTAAAGGAACTACTGTAGAAGCTCCTGTTATGGAATAAGGAGTTTAATATGAATTTCCGTTTTAATTATTTTTAAATAGTAAAAACGGATAAATGGAGATTTTCTTATGTACTGATGATAATAATGACTCTGATGAATAATTAAATTAATAATAAAATGAATGTTTAAACGACTTTAATAGTTAACAATCTAATATTAAAGCTGAAACTGAATGATGTTTTTTTTTTTAAAAAGAATATATATATATATAAATTATATATATATATTAGCTTGTAGAAATATTTTTTACTCTTCTTTTTGTAGAATAAAATTTTTAAATATATTATTGTGCGTTCATGTTCTTTACGATTTTATCTATATTTTTAAAGTATTTAAATTACGGAATTAACGCTTTAAATAGAATCCTATTTAAGTTAAATAATAATCAGTTTAATTTTAAGAAACTAATACAAAAAATTATTAAAATATTATAAAAATGTAATATCTTTACATTTCCTATAAGAAAGTTATCCAAAAATAGAAAAGGGTTAATTATTTTTACCGATTTCCATTCTAAAATACTATAAGTTCTTACCAAAATTATTTCCAATAGATATAGTATTCCCTAAACTAGTTTCGATTTTTAATAAATCTATTCCATCACTTTTTAAACCACTAACGTAGTTTATATATTCGTTATTTTCTAATATAAGCTTTATTACTTAAATTTCATCATTATTATTGTAAAAAATCCATTTAAAACCTTCTTTTAATTCTTCTTAATAGTAATATATACATTAAAGACCTATAATCTTATCTTTTTTTAAGTAAAAATTAATTTGTTTTATTTAACTTATAATTAGTCCTTCCAAATGTTCATAATCATCGTAAAAAATAGAATTTTATTATGAACTTTAATATCCTTTTATATATTAATTTATTATACTTGTTTTTCTTTGAATTTTATTTTACCAACTAATTATTTTTCTATAAGTCTTTATTTAATAAATTTGCTTGATAAAATATTTTATTAAGGTTAACTTATTTAATTTAATATAGATAAAGAATTTTTGTTTTAAGATCGTTCACTATTATATCGTTATGATTAATTGTATTAGTGAAAAATAGTGGTATATTCAGAATTAATTTTTTTAAGTTTTTATTTTAAATTACTTATTTAAAATGTGAAATTTTATTAGTTTATTTTCTATTAATTATCAACATTTTTTAGTTAAAAACTTATATCTTAATGATGACTATGTAAGTTTTATATAGCTGAATTTAATAAAGAATAGTCTTTTTATAATTTTTCTTTATCTTAGTTTTTTTATTAAATTTATAATTTAATAGGTGATAAAGAATTATATTAGGTATCTGATTCTTTTATTTATTATTTAACTTATTTTATTTCAAATTTTAAATTTTTAATGTAATTTTATAAATTTTAAATCTTTATTAATAAAATAATTTTTATTAATAATATTATATATATATATATTTATACATATATATTTTTATATTTATTAACATATTTTTTTTTTTACTTATTCTGTTTATTATGCGTATTCTATGAACATTTAATTTTATTATACATATATTTATTATTCTTATTTTAACGTGTATAATTTATCTTGTTTATTTTTATATTCTATATTATATTCTTCTATTTAGTTATGTAAAATTTATAATCTTTTTTTTTTAATTTTTAAAATCTTTAGTTTATTATTATTAAAAAAAAATAAACTTTTCTTTTGTTTATATGTTTTTAATAGATGAATTATTTAATTTTTTAATTTATATTTTTTTTTCTTTCAATATTTTTTATTTTTGGTTAATTTTTAGAATTATATCTTCAATAGATTAGCTATTTATTAAATTTTTTTACTTATTTTTTTAAATTTTTTTATTAGAATTAAAAGCATTTTTTTTCTTTAAATATTAATCTATGTTATATTAAAGATCTTAAATTTATTTTCTTTTTTTATTATTTTCTAATTGAATTTTTTTTATACATTTAAGTCTATATTATTATTTATATAACTTTTATATTTATTTATTTATATCAGTATTTTTTTTTACTGTTCTTAATATAATTATTCAAGTTATTATTCATTTAATTATTTTTCATCATATTATCCTTCTAATATTTTATAACTATATTCTAAATCATTCATTTTTTATATATATTAGGAATATATAATAAAAAAATAATTTATATTAATTGTTTGTTATATTCTTAAAATATTTATTAGTTTATTATTAAATATATTATTTAAAAATATTTTGTATATATTAAAATTTATTATATTAAACACAAAAAATAAAAATGAAATATATAAAAAAATTATTTTAAATTATTAGGTTAGTTAAGTAAAAATATAATTTCAAGAAAATACAAAATTAATTATATATATATATATATATATATATATATATATATATATATATTTTATATATTATATTTAAATAATATGTTATTTTTGTTTTTATATATAATATATTAAATAATCATAATAATAAATATATTAAATTAGATTAGAAAATAACAGAAAAAAAAAAAAAAACTTTATATAACCAAACCCAAACAAAAAAACTTATTAAATATTAATTTTTATAAAAATTAATTATTTAAAATAATATATGAAAGTTCAAGTAGATAAATAGCAAACAAAAGATATATTATAAATAAAATAAACTAAAAATTCATAAAACTATATAGAATACACACAAGAAAACTAAATGAAAATTCCTTAAAAAAATTAATAAATAAACGGTTAAAATGAAAAACCCAAAACTGACAAAAAGAGAAAAACAATTAAAATAAATACATCATTTTGTCGTTCAGAATTAAAATTAATTCGATATTTAATACATAGAAATAATTGGAAAGAATGTTTTGGGTTCGAAGGGAAAATAATGTGGAGCGGATTAAGTATAAATTAATATGATATAAGTTCTGTATATGGGAGTTTGAATGTAAATCGAATTCCGGAAATATAAGAGCTGGCCCATAAGAAGACTACAGGATATTTTTTGAAATTATTTAAGGATTATTTTCCGGATTATTTTGATTTTTTTCCTTTAACTTTTTTACTGCCTGAGGATTTCTCAGATTTAAAAAAATATATGGGCTCTCATCCGAAAGAAATGTTCATTTCTAAACCAAGTTCAGGATGCTAAGGGGATGGAATCAAACTTATTTAGAGTGTAAAGGATGTTCAACTTTAATTTAATTATTCTCAATAATAAATTATTATTTAATAGTATATAAGTAATCCACTTATTATTGATAAGAAAAAATTTGATTTAAGACTTTATGTACTTATTAGTTCTTTAGATCCGTTTGTTGTATATTTACATGATGAGGGCCTTGCTAGATTTTGTACTGAAGATTATTAAAAACCTTAGTAGTAAAATATTAATAATTTCTATATGCATTTAACTAATTATTCATTGAATAAATAAAATCCAAATTTTAAAGTTATTTTTTTTTTTTTTTTTAAATAATTTTTTTTTTTTTGTGATCTTTAGTTACCTTAAGAAAGTGATATTAATAATATTAATGATTGCTCGAAAAGATGCCTTTAGAGTCTTTGGAAATCTTTAGAAAAAGAAGGATATTCGAAAGATAGTATTTTAGAATAAATTGAAGATTTGGTTGTGAAGTTTATTATTAGTATGTACCCTTGCTTACTTTATAATTATAAAATAACTTTTAATAATAAAAACACAAAATGTTTTCATGTATTAGGAATAGATATTTTATTAGATAGAGATGGAAAACCATGGTTTTTAGAAGTATTTTTTTTTTGTTTTTTATAAAAATAATAATAAATAGGCAAATGGAAATCCTAGTTTTAATATAGAACATGAAGTTTTATAAAATGATGGGAACAAACTCAAAGAAATAAGTTTATTAGATAAATATGTAAAAAGTTATGTAGTTGAGGATGTAATATTAATTACTAATTAAAAATTAGAGAAATAAATGAAAATAGGTGTTGGAGGTAAATTTAATGGATTTAAATAATTAATATGTGGGGATTAAGATATAATTAATTAAATGGATATTTTTATAAAAATGCTTAAAATATATGGAAAATTAAGTGGGTTTTAATTTAGAATTTTAACTGCTAGTAGATTTTCAAAATTATCGAATTTTTAAGGAATGATGAATTAGATTGTCACAAAAAACGATTATGATATCATTTATAAAAAAATTATGAGAAATTAGTTTGAATAAACTTAAATGGGATTCTTTGAATTTGTTAAGGCTCTTGAATATTTGACTAGCAAATTGAATAGTAATGAATATTAAGAAAATAATAAATTACCGGCTGTTTAAAAAATAGTTAATAATATTATTAGCCAAATTTAATGAAAATTTAGTTTTTTTTTTTATTAATACAAAAATAATTAATATTATGTAAAAGATATATAATTATTACTATATATATATATTAATGAAATTATATATATATATATATATATATATATATTATATATATATATATATATATATATATATATATTTATAATTATAATTAGTTTTTCTATAAAATTTAGTTATATTTAAAAATATATATAATTTTGTTATTAAATTACAATTAGTTTTAATATATTTATGTTTTTTTATTTTCAAACTTTCTTTACTTAATTTAGTTTTATTAAATTTTTCATTATTGACGAACTTTATTTATAAATTCATCTACATAATCAGACACTTTTTTTTTGCTATTTTTTTACAATTTTCAATTTCTTTTTGGTTTTATTTATTCATTTAAAAACATTCAGCTATTTTATTTTATAAAAATGTTATTTTAAAATCTAAATTTTTTTATTCTTTTTCTAATTTTAACACTTTTGTTTCCATACAATTTACATAACCATTTAAATCGATATTTTCTAAGCATCTAAATTCAATATTAATTTATTCATTTTATAATTGCTATAGTATTCCTTATAAATATAAATTTAATTCTTAACTAAACTAATGTATTTACTAATTCATTTTTTATATAATAAATTATTGATTTATAATAAAAAAAAGGATTAAAAATTTAGAAATATATTATTTTATAAAAAAAAATTATTTTTAAGAAAATAAAATTATTTTTTATTTATATATAAAATAGAAAAAATATAAGAAGATAAAATAAAATTAATTTATTTTTGTTTAATTATAATATAAAATTAATTTTTTTTTATATATATTTTTATAGAAATCTTTATTAAAATTTTTAGCTTTATGGAGAAAATTTTGAAATTAATTTAATTTATTTTTAAAGATTTAAATAAATAATATTAAAAAATTTTAAATTTGATTGAAAAAAAAAAATTAATTCAAAATTATTTAATATAAAAAAAAAATTATTATAATAAAAATAAAAATATATATTATGAAGTAATTTAAGTATTTAACAAAATATATAAATGCATATTTCGTATTTTTTTTTAAAAAAAAATTAAAAATAAATAAATTATAAAAGAAATTATTAAATAACTATATGATAATTATAATTAAATAAAGTAAATAATTTATAGTCTATTAAATTTTAATTTTTATATTTAATGTTTGAAATAGATTATAAAATTTCAAAATAATAATAACATTTAAGACATTTAATAAGATATAATTAAAATTTAATATAAAGCTCTTTTTGATAATTTTATAAATTTATTTTTAAAATAGTAATTAACATTAATATATAATAAATTTATATATATATATCAATTAAATTGTAAAAATTAAATTGAATTTTAGAAAAATTAAATTTTTAACATTAAAATATTGATTTATGATAAATATTGAAATATACTATAATTATTATAAAAAAATAAAATAAAAAAAATTTTAGTTAATGTTTTATTTATATATAAAATAATAATAAAAAATAAAATTAATTGACTTAATAAAAAATTAAATAATAAATGTATTATTAAATTATAAAAAATTAAAAAATTTGTTACTTTTAATTTTAATTTTAAAATTTCTATATAATATTCAATTTTATTATAAAAATAAGAAAATTATATTTATTAAATAAAATAAATTATTTACAAATAATATTTTAATATATATTTATTAAAATTATATTAAATATATTGGTATATTTTTATATAAAATTTTTTTTTTTTTTAATATATATAAATATATTAAATAATATATATTAAATAAAAAAAAAAATATATTATAAATAAAATAATAATTAAAATATTAATAATATTTAAAACTATAAATTAATATATATAAAAAAATAAATATATATATATATATATATATATTATATATATATATATATAATAATTATTTTTATAACTTAACTTTTTTTTCTTTAATATATATTTTTTTATAATTATAAAATGCCTTTAGATATTAATTTAATTAGAAAAGATTTCGGTTAATAAGTGAAATAAAATTTAAAAAAAAGATATTTATAAACTAATATAATCGAATAACTTTTAATAATAGATCAAAAATGGAGACAAAACTAAACTCAATATGATAATTAACGCTAAAAATTAAACGAAACTAATAAAAAAATATCTTCTTTATTTAAATAAAAAGAAGATATTAAATATTTAATATAAGAAAAAGAATAAATATAAAATAAAATAGAAATACTATAATAAATAATAAAAGAATAGAAATAATAAATAAATTAATATCTAATATAAATACCTAATTTATTGGATGATTAAGTACCTGATTTTTCTTAAATTGAATACTTATATGAATCAAAAAACAATTAAAATAAACCTATTTTAAATTATAAAAAAATTCTCTATTTTTTAAATAAAAAATATCTTAGTAATTATATATATGGTTCACTCTTTTAATTAAATGTAAGTCTATTAAATTTTGTTTAGTTTTGTTTGATTAAAATTAGTTTTTTACCTATTTAAATACCTTATATAACAAAATCTCATATTTGTTTTTTGAATAATTAATCTTATAAAATTAATAATAAAGAAAATTAAGTATTTTTAAGGTCCTTTAAAATAGGAATTTGTAGCTTTTATATGAATGAAGTATTATCTGATTTACCAATTAAATATTATTGTTAATAAATGCATTTTAATAAGTTTAAATAAAGAGAATAAGTATTTTATATTTTTTTTTTTTTTTTTATTATATTTATAAAACAAAAAGATATTTGTTAATATATTTTGTAATATGGAAAGTTCTTATAAAGAATTAGATAATATTTTGGCTTTTTGTATAGAAATTTTATAAAAGTTAGAATTACCTTTTAGAGTTATAAAAAAATCGGGACTTTGTTTAAATAAAAATTTATATTGTTCTTTGAAATATGTATTAGAAGGATATTTTCCGTATAAATAAAAATATAAAGTAAAATATATATATATAATATAAAGTTATATATATTTTATATAATAAATAATAAATTTAAATACAACTTATTGTAAATTTTTATATTTTTTTTTTAAATAATACATAATAAAATATATATTATATTTTATAATTTCATTTTATTTAGTATTCTATATATGATGAAAATAGTATCAATATAACTTTTTTTTATTTATTATTTTATGTTTTTCTAAATTAAATATTTATTGTAAATATAGAAACTAATATCCTTACAAAATACAACTGATTATATATCTCGATAATATAATATATAATATTTAAATCAATAAAAGTAATTATAGTATTGCCATATTGTATTTGGTACTGTTTGTGATTAATACAGAATTATTAATTGCATTTTAGAAAACTATTAAAATTTGAGTTAAATTATTATTCCTGATATTTTAGTAAATTAAAAAAAGTAGTATTAAATATTTATTTTAATTCAAAAAGGTTTAATATTTAAATAAAAAGTTTATAAATTTTAGATAAATTATATGATATAAAATAAAATATATTATATACTTTAATTAATAATCTTTACTATTAAAAAATAAATTAACATAAATGAACATATATAATGTATTATTTTTTATATTAAAAACAATCAATTTTTCAAAAAATTTAAATAAAAAAAATACATAATATTTATTTTATATTTTAATAAATATTATTATGTTTTCATATAAATATTAAACAATTTAAAATATTATTTTTTTATGGACAAATAATTAATATTATTGATAAAAATCTAAAAAAAACTATAAAGAAAAAAAAAAATGTTATTAATAATAAAAAAACATATTGAAAGAAATAGTTATTTACTACTATATAAGTAAACATTATATTTTTAGTAATTTTCAATTAATATTTCGATATGAAATCATAATATACAATAATGCCATAATATAAATATAATACTACAAAAATTTTATTTATAATTATAATAATATAAACAGTGTTATAATAATTTGTCTCAAAAAAAAAAAATCATTTGAAAAATAAGATATTTGTATTTAAATTTTGTAAAATAACATAGTTAAATATATTTAATAATGTAATATTAATATAAATATTATTATTATATTTTTTATTTTATATATATATTTATATATTTATATATATATATATTTTATATATTTATATATATATATTTTTATTTTTATATATTTAATTATTTATAGATATATTTCTATTTATAATATATATTAAAAAAAAATTAATTTTTTTATATATATACATATATTTTTAAATATTATTTTTTCTATATCTCTATTACAGTTTTATTTATTTAAATTATTTTTCTATATAAATATTTTTTTTTTTATTTATAGTCTTTAATTCAACCAGTTTTAAATAATAATATAGCTAATTATCCTATGTAAAGGTATATATAATAATTTCTTTCAAAAGTAACATAACTTGCGAAATTACGACCTACGATACAATGCCATGTGCCATGATATCTACATCTAAAATCATCTTTTATAAAAGTAGAAATTTCTTTATCTGTATTACAATAATCAATTGCTTTTTTTGCCACTTCTTTTACATCTTTAACCATATCTTCTGTCATATCAAATGATTTTACGACAGGTTCAACTCTATCCAGATAATTCATTTTTTTATTAATTTTATATTAATTTATATGTTTTTTGTTAATATATTTATTTTTAAAAAAAAAAAATTAATTTCTATTTTTAAATATTTTAATAAAAGTTTCTTTTGTTTTTTTATATATTAAGAATATGCATATATTTTTAATAAAATAAACATTGATTTATTCCTAACAAAAATAAATACTTTATAAATCTATAGGCTTTTTATTCTTTCTTATATATATATATTTCGGCTAATAAATAATTTTTTTAATATATTTCTATGTTGTATTTTTTGGATTTTGAATCTATAATAATAAAATACAATTGTTTATTTTTCTTTATATATATGTATAAATTAAATAAAACATATACTCTTATTTTTTAGTTTTTAAGGTAAAATATATAATTAATTTAATAAAAGTTTATTTGAATTTTATAATAATTAATATATTTAAAGTTATTATTTTTTAAAAAGTATTTTATTTAATTATTTATAAAATATAGATTTTTTTATAATAAAAGAAATAAAAAATTGTTTCGTTTTGAATTTATTGCTTATAAATGTTTATATTTTTTGATTATTAGTTTTAATTTAAATATTATACTATATTTTTAAATAATTCAGATTAAAAATTATATTAAATTTTTTTTTTTAATATAATATATTATAAATAAGTATAAAGACAATAATTTATATACTATATATATTTCATTATAAATATATATACATATATATATTTATATATATATATATATATATATATTATATATATATATATTACTTAAAAACATATTTATTTAATATGTGTATTTCTATAAAAAAATTATATTTTTATAAATAGTATATATATTAATTATTATAATATTTTTATAAATATATAAAAATAATTAAAATAAATTTTATTCATTCAACTAATATTTTAATTTTTTTAATATTAATAGTAGTTAAAGAAACTCTACAATTTGGGCAATTTAAAGAATTCTTATTATTGGTAATCCATTAATCTATACATAAAGCATGAAAAATATGATTACAAGGTGTATTTCTAATCTATTCATTTTTACAAATGATTCTAAAACAAATACTGCACATATAGTTTCCTTTTTTAATTGTTTCATTAATTTTTTTATTATTAAGTTTAGTTTCTTGTTATTATTCTTCGATTTATTTTATAACATATTAATATAATTTAATTTTCGGCATTAATTAGATATATTCATCATAATTAAAATATGGATTTATTCTATCTAATTTAGTTAGTTTATCATGTATATGTTTATCAGTTTTATTCTTTCTATTTTAAATAAAATTAGCAATTCTTTATCGGTTTTTAAATAAAAAAAAATCATAATTATTGAAAATATAAATGAAAAAACTACAATTAAAATTATATAGCCAACATTTAAAATATTTTTTATCTCCTTTTGCTCTATATGTATTTAAATTTCCTATTTTTATTCTTAGTTTATATTTTATATCATTATAAGATACTTTTTATTAATTTTTGTAATGTATTTTTTGTCTATTTTTTATATAAATTCTTCATTATTATTTATAAAATCATCTATAGTTTCTATATACACGTTTATTTATTTTTAATATTTAATTTCAAGCTCATAAACTTTAAAATTTTCGCTTAAATAAAAAAATTAAATTTCTAAAGGATAAATTATTATATTTTAATAGTTTTTTATCAATTAAGCTTACAAAGAACAGTCTTTTAAAAAAAGAAAATTTTCATTTTTACATTTACAAATTCCTTTTTCACAAAATCCATTCGAAAAACAGTTAAAAGGACAATATTATTCGCTTTAATATATTTTATATGAAATATTTATATTTTCTTATTCTTAAATTCTTTAAAATAAACTTACTTTAATATTAATTTGTTACTATTAATCAGAAAAAGTGATTATTTTATTCAATTTTAAATATTATTTTTATGTTTGCCATGTTTTTCGATAATTATTTATACTTTTATTTTAATTATTTTAAATAGGAATATCGGTTATACTAGCATCTATGTATATATTGGATGAATTAGTATGTAAATCTATTTCTAAAAATATGTTTTTTAATGGTTATATGTAATTTTCTTTAAATAATTGAATTTCTAGTGTACAAGGAAATTAATTACATTACTTTTAACCTTCTATTATTGTTAATAGTATTATTTTTTTTAATAAAATTATATAAAAAAATAATAGTTTCATATGAGAATTCTATTCTATTTTATATTATTTTCAAAAAATGCTTTAAATAAGTAATTATTTGTTTGCTTTAATATATTGGAAAATGAATTTTATCGTTTATTTAGGTAAAATAATAAATAAAATTAAATAATTAATAATAAAAATTATATATTATTATATTATATAATATATAAATTATATATTATTATTTATATATTAAAAAATAATCAATATAGACAATATAAAAAAGCAGCGAAAAATTAAAATTATTGGACTTATAAAAATTATTAATATTTTTTAAGATATTAATATATTATAAAGATATTATTAGTTTTAAAAATATTAAAATTTACATTTATAAATATTATTAAAAAAAAAGATAATAATTATTTTATTTATTAATATAAATAATATTAAATAAAATTATATATAATTATATATAATTATATATAATTTTATATAATTATATATATATATATATATATATATAATAATTATATATATATATAAAAAAAAACATATTAATATATGTTATTTCAATTTATTGTAATTTCTTCAATTTATTAATATTTTATATTTTATTTTATATTATCTTTAAATACTTTAAATCTTGTTATTAATTTATTTTAATTTTTAATTCTTTCTAATAAAAAGAATTTATTAAAATCTAATTAAATAACAGTTTCGTAATTTCCATTAAAACTTGAAATTTTTTCTTTACTATTTGTATGAATCTCATTTTAAAATTTACAAAAACTTACTAAAAATGTTCCTTTCTATTTAAAAATCGGATTGATATTAATATTAAGTAAGAAATAATCAATTTTTTATTTAATTTAATGCTTTTTTATATCATATATTAAAAAATAATAATGATTAATAATTAAAACTGTTTTCTTTTTTATTTAAATACATTTTTATTCGAATTAATTCATTTTATCTATGAAAAAGCATTTGTTTTTTTCTTTTAAAGTATTGTGATTATTTTCTTCTAAATCTTAATATTATTCGTTTTCATTAATTTCTATTTCATGAAGGTATATTTAATTATAATCACTCAATATTATATAATAATTATTATCATAAAAAGTAAATAATAAAGGCTCTTCTGTAGAATTACTATATCTATAAACTATTTATGCATTTTTATTTACTATTTAGATTTAAAATTATTCACAAAGCATGATTAAAAACCTTTTTTAATTAGGAAGTACTTTTAATGCACTAGTTTGAAAATATTAAACTAATTTAAAAGAAGGTAAATGATAAAAACTTACTTTTATATTTTCTAAATAATCTTAGTATACAATTAAAGTGTTTTATTTTTTATAATAAAAAAGTATATTAGCATAAATAATCTTTAGTTAACCTATTATTTCCAAGTTTTTGTTTTCTTTGTATTATATTAAATATGAAATTTTGTTTTAATCATATATTAATAGATGAATTGCTTAATTTTTCTATCTTTTTAAAAAATATAGGTTTTCTTTTAGTTTTAAAATACTATTTATTTCATAATTTTTAACCTCTCTTAACTTTATTTGTATTAAAATAAATATTGTACTTAGAATTCTAATAAAAAGCAAAAAAAAAATACACATAAGAGCCCAATAAATATATAAATAAACAAAAAAACAAAGGAAAAAAATGTATTTAATTGCTAAATATATTGCATTCTTTTTATAATTTAAAGAAAATCCATATAAAAATACTAAATTTTAAAATATTAATATGTCATATACAAGTATTAATACATATATATTTTATGTATGTATAAAGATTAGAGGAAATATGAATTTTTTCATTTCTAAAAACAATAAAAGGAGATAGTTTTTTTCTTAAAATAAAAAAATATCCTAAGCTTAATCAGATAATAGTTGAGATATGTTTTCTCTTAAAATATAATTAAAATGCAATTATTATTATTCTAAATTATTATTTTTATAGTAATTTCTTTTTAAATAATTATATAAAATAAAATATATCATTTTTTATTATTTTTTGTATTATTAAAAAATAAAATAAAAATGAATTAGATATTTTTATGATATATCATTAGTTTTTTAAATTAAAATAAAAATTTTCAAACTATTTTCTATTTCACTAATTGAAATTTAGAAATGCAATATTTATATTTTTATATTTACTGTTCTTTTAAATAAAAGTAATTATTTTATTATAATTAAATTTATTTATAAAAATAAAAAAAAAAGAAAAACAAAAAACTTCTCCAAAAAAGAAATGAAGTTCATTTTATAATTAATTAAATAATATATTTACTTATTTCAATTTAAATGTCTAACCATTTTTAACATCTTAAATAAATAACAAAATTTATATTAATGTATAATGTTATTTATAAATACAATAATTTTTGGAAAATAAAATAATTTTTATAATTATATATATATTTAGCTATTAAATTAATAATGATTTATTATATTTTTTAAATAATATCGGAATTATATTTATATAATCCTTTATTTAATATATGTTTTCTAAAAAAGCTCTATAATAATAAAGGTTCTTATCTTTTTTTATTACATTTAATTGATTATCCGTTTTAATTTCATAACATTAAATTCTGTTAAATCAGAAATTATTATTAAAGGATATTTTTAATATAAGAATCATTGTTACATCTTTAGAATCCAATTATTAAATGGGTTTAAATTATATTAAATGAAAATAAATAATAGGTTTATTTTTTTAATCATGGTGTATTAATATATTAATAAGAATATTTTATTTTTTTTATAAAAATGAGCTGCATTTGGAGCTTATTATTTTATTTATTATATTTAATTTTAATAAATAAAATAATAAATTTATAACATTATATTAGTTTCTTTTAGAATAAATATTTTTTTATGTATAGGGAATATATTTAAATTCCTTTGTGAAAGACTTATGAAAATAAAAAATTTGTAGGGAAGAATATCTTTTTAGGTATTTTCATATTGAAAAAAATAATATTTTAAATGACATCATTATTGTTTTTGTTGCCATTTTTAGAGAAAATATATAGGGAATAAGTAAATTGGAAAATAATATAGTGATATATAGGAGTATTATTATAGAAACATATATATGTGTAAATATTAAAAGGAATTAATAATATATTTAATTTTAAACATATAAATAGAATAAAGTTTTATTGTATGTTTCTAAAAGATTATAGTTTAATATTTAAAATTAAAATGTAATTTATAAATGAGTTTTTAATTGCGAGTTTTTTTTTTTTTTTTGGTTTTTAAAATTAATTAAAGTAATATTTTTTTTTTTAATTTTTTAAAAAAGAAATTTATTAATATCATAAGATTATATAATTAATTAATATATAATAATACTTAAATAAAAAAAACGAAATTTAATTAATATTATTGAAAAAAATTATTATGTTATTAATGTTTTTATTTGAAATAAAAATATTTATTTTATTTATTTATAATTTTTAATAGATTTATATTTTATTTTATATAAATATAAAATAAAAATGATAAAATATTATTTAATAAAAAATATTTTTTAATAATTAAAAAATACATTTAAATTTTGTAATGTAATTCTTTCTAAAACTAATAAAGTAAACAAAAAAAATAAAAAAAAATACAAAAACTTCATAATACATTTCGAAAGGAAATGAAATAATTAACAAAACCAGAATTTTTAAAAAACCCACAAAAATATTACCCTTAAAAGGTTTTCGAAAAATACGGTTATACTCGTCATATATGTCCAAAATGTTCAAATAACTATTGGCGAATTTCCCCTTCTTAAAATACCTGCGGAGATTCTTAGTATTTATAAAATAAACAAAAAAAATAAAAATATATAAATTTTGTATTAGATGTACTGGAAAATATACATTTATAGGCGAGAAAACTGGAATTGGTATATAAAAAAAAGTCACATATACAGAAGCTTGGAAAATATTCGAAAAATCATTAAATAATGCAAGAATTTAATGTAAAACTGTCCCCAGATACCCAATAGTAGCTCGTTGGAGAAATGATGTTGATTTCGTCGCGGCTGGAATCTATTGTTTTTAGCCTTATTGTATGACTGGGGAGCTTTAACCGCCTGAAAACCCCCTTATATAGCCTTAGTTTTGTGTAAGATTTAATGATTTGGATAATATTGGGCTAACTGGGAGACATTATAGTGGTTTTGTGATGCTAGGCATATAATGTTTTAATTATCCAGGAAAATACATATTTTTTAGTGAGGAATGTGTTGAATTTAATATAGAATGGCTCACAAAAGGGCTAGGAATCAAGAAAGAAGAAATAACTTTCGTAGAAGATGTTTGGTGTGGGGGAGGCAACTTAGGGACTTCGATTGAATTTTTCGTAAAAGGTCTAGAAGTGGGAAATATGGTATTTATGTAATATAAATATTCCCCAAACGGAGATATATGGCCACTAGAAACTACAGTTATAGACGTCGGAATCGGCTTAGAAAGGATTCCTTGGGTACTTAATGGTAGTTATAATTCTTATGTTGATACTTTTGGAAGATCGTATGCTTATTTAGTTGATAAATTAGGGGTTTTAATAATAAAAAGATGGGTTTTGGGAATAAATAGGACCTTTTATGTGTATTTTAAATAGCGATGAAGTGGAAAATATAGACTAGTGTTGGGAATTAATTAAAGAAAGAAGTCGTTTTAAGGGAAGCTTAGGTGAATTAAAATAATTTGTTTAACAAACGAAAGATATTTTTGTTATTTTGGATCATACTAGAACTTTTTTAGTGGCAGTTTAGATGGATGTCTCCCTTCTAATGTAGGGGGAGGGAGTAATATTAGAAATATACTAAGAAGGTGTTTTGGTATATTAAAAAAAAAAGGATGGCTCAATATTTTGAAAATGGAAGGGTTTTTGAACATTTTTTAAGAACATTTAAAGGATTTGGAAGGTATATATGGAAAATTTGAGGAATTTAAGAGTTTTTAAGATATTGTTTTGATGGAATTTTAAAAATGGGAAAATAAAGATAATTTAGAGAAATAATAAGTAATTAAATTATTTGAAAAAAGCTAAAGCCTTGATTAATGGATTTTAGCAATTGAAAGTTACGGGATTTAGCCTGATTTTATTGAAGAAGTTTTAAATTTGGAGCCGCCAGCGAATTTATGGTATGAATTAGAAAATAGGAAAATGAGGATTACTAAAAAAATTAAATAGTCTATGATTAAAATTCCTTAGAATTTACCAGAAACTATCGAAGATAAAGAAAATATTGAGTTTATATCGAAAATAATACATATATAGGAATATAATATTGATTGTTCTTTTTTAATTTTAGAAAAAAGCTGCTTTTATCCAACTTCTGGTGGATAATTACACGACATGGGCATTTTGGAAATTCCTGAAAAAAATATAGCTTTAAATGTAATTAATGTAGAAAAAATCGGGAAATATATAATACATATAATTTAAAAAGACTAAAAAATTCAAAACTTAACCAACAATGAAAATATAAAAGGAAAAGTGGATAAAAAAAGGAGAAATATACTCAAAAATCACCATACGGCTACTCATATTCTCTTTGCAGCTTCACGAAAGGTTTTAGGACCTCATATATGGTAAAACGGGGCTAAAAAAACAACAGAATAAGCACATTTAGACATTACGCATTTTCGAGGTTTATCTAATGAAGAATTGAAGGAAATCGAGATTGAGGCAAACAGTATTATTTAGAAAAATGTGAAAATTTAAAAATAAATAATGTCTAAAAGAGAAGCTGAATCTCTTTATGGGTTCAGACTTTATTAAGGAGGGATTGTGCCTGGAAATAAGCTAAGAATAGTGAATATTGAAGGGGTGGATGTGGAGGCATGTTGCGGTACTCACTGCGATTTCACAGGAGAAGTTTAGAAAATAAAGATTCTAAAGAGTAATAGAATTTCTGATGGGGTTGTGAGACTTTATTATGTGGCCGGGGATAGATGTAGGTAATAAAATGAGGAAGATGAGGCTATTTTGAACAGTTTGTAGAAAATGTGGGGTGTTTAAAGGGATGAAGTGGTCAAAACTGCTTAGGGTATTTTTAAAGATTATAAATAGTTTAAAAAAATCGTGGAGGGTTAAAAAGTGGAAATTTTAGAATTGAAAATGGAAAGATTTTTGGAGTAAAAAAATTGGGATTTTGCTTTAGGGAAGTGTAGTGGTGAAAATTAGGCGACTTTTTATATTTCATAAATGGGAAGATTTGTGGTAAAAATGAAGGATTTAAATAAAGGAGTCGTTTTATTATCTGAATAGTGTATTTTTGGATAGTTTGGAAGTATTAAATTGATTGATTTTGAAGATTTTTAAAGGTATTTAAAATAGGAATTATAATTAAAAGGTGAATTTAAAAAAATAAGCAATTAAATAAGTTACAAAGGAGTTAAATGCGATAATGTTTTATAGTTTGTATTTATTGGTGATAATATTAATTAGAATTAAGTTTTAAATTATTTAAATTAAAAATATAAGAGTGTTAAGTTATGAGTTAAAATAAATAAATATATTTGTATAAAGATAAAAAAATATATATAAATATATATATTTAGATATATATATATATATATATATATATATATATATATTTAATATATATCATTCATTTTATATTAAATATTTTTTAATTTTTAACATTACACCCATTAAATTTTATAATAAATATGTATTATTTAGAAAAAATATAAATAAATCATTTTTAATAATAATTATTTTATTTGAATAAAATATATTTATATAATAATAATTAGTTTAAATTGCATAAATATAGTAATATATATATAAATTAAAATAAAAAAATGATTTTCTCAATAATATTATTCTTTATTTTAGATATAAATATAAAAGTAGCAAACTCTAGCCGATTTGATTAATATTTTTAAATATTAAATGAATACAATGATTATTTTTAAAACTACACAACTATAAACATAATAAATTAAATTTAAAACGCACTTTCCATTGAATAATATTTTACAACTCCGCTAATCCAAAATGAAAAAAAAAAGCAAAAACTTCAATTAGAAATTGAAGAAGAAGAAAAATAGAAATTCGAACTATAAAATATACTTTAAAAAAAAAGATAAAAATAATAATAATTTGAGGTAAATTAAACAAGATAATTGTAATAAAACAATGACAATATTACAGCAAATGGAGACTATGATTTATAATTTTAATGTTAAAAAAGTTCAAAGCAAGTCGTTATATAATAAAAAATCTATATATGTGAGAATAAAAAAATATCGAAATCGGATTATGATTAATTATCAGATTAAAAAAAACAGCTATGTGTAGTTTAAGAAGAGAAAAAAAACGCGTGTTTATGTCCGAAAGATCGAGTGGGTAAATATTGCACTAAAGAAACAAAAATTTAATGTAAAATAACAGTTATAAATCAACATACATGCCCAATTTTCAACAATTTTAATTTCGTTTCGGAATATGGTGGATTTCCTCCTTGTATATAAATAAAACCTGATGATCTTTATTATATAAGAGTTATATAAAAAATAAAATAAAAATAATTTAATAACATATATATATATATATATATATATATATATATATATATATAATTAATTTATATATATTCATATTTTTTTTTATTATATAAAAATAAAGGCAAATGCTTAATGTTAAAATATGATTATTCGTAATGGACCAAAAATATATGATGTAGAGGAAGAACATACAATTTTATATGATGAAGTGCCTTTAGGAGAAGATCCTAATAGTTGGTAGAGGTTTGAAAGGTTTGATTATGTAGTTGATAATTAGAATCTTTATATAGGAAGGATGAGAGATTTTACTCCTCAAATTAATTTCATTAATTGGAATGTTTTAAGCAATTCAAATAGTGAAAATTACATTAATAGATATAATTTGACAATTGATTAATTAACTGGGAATGCCTCATTTTATATTGTTATTGATTTTTCTAAATTAAGTGATTAAATAGCTACTGTAGGAAGATATACGATGTAGTTAAATATTATTGAAATATATTAAAATGAGTTTATTAAAGATGCTTTTATTATTAAATCTTCAAACGTTTAAAATATTATTTTAGATAATGAATTATATGTGGAACCTAAATAAAAATAATCCAAGAATATTTTATTAATTATATTAATTAGTATTTTAATTTTTATTGCTGTTGTGATTTTTGCTTTTACTATTTATATAAGCTATGTTTAACGTAGAATGAAATCAAATAATAATATATTTTAAATACAAAATGGAATTAACGGAAGATTAAATGAACATTCGGAATATTAATAATGAGTGAGATATATAATTTTTTAAAAATATTTTTATTTGTTTGTATTTTTAAAATATATATATATATTTATTGACAATACTATTTTATTTAATTTTAAGTATTCAGATTTCTCTATATTAATAAAAATTAAAAAATATTATTATTATTTTTTATTAAGATGATTTTTTAAAAATATTTATAATTTTTTTAAAAAAAATTTATTTATATAAAAAAATACTTTTCTTTGAAAAAAATACAATAAAAATATTTCAACGTAAAATTTTTAATAACAAAACATAAATTTTGTTTATTTTTTTATTTAGTTTAATTAAATAATGCAATATATAATTTTCTTTATTAAATAACTATATATATATATATATTTTTAAATATATTAAATAATTTAAATAATTCATATAATTTATTCGTTGTTGATTAAAATAGAAATGAAAAAAATAAATTACCATTAAAAAAACGAATTAGGTTAACATATTTAATAAAAATATATCAAAAATAAAACACTAATCTATATTAAAAATATATATGTATTTTGAAATTTATAAAAATTCAAAAATTAAAAAAAGAATAAGGAAATTAATGGGTAGATAGATTAAAAAGTATATTTAGTGAATAAATAAATCTAGATTAAAGTGATAATATGAATTATAATACAAATACTAGCCAAGAAGATTTTCAAAATAACAATTTTTCTGATTTTTCGGAAAATGAAAACGACGAAGATTTAATTATTTAACAAAAAAATATATAAGAAAAGCAAGCAGTATTTTTTTTAATTATAAATTAAAATAAAAATCGTTAAAAATTAACATATACAAATATATATTTAAAACATAGAAATTAGAATTATTTAAAAAAATATAAGAGGCAATAATTGATGATAGTTTTGATTCGTATTAAAGCTCAATAGAAAGTTAAAATAACATTATTAATAAAATAAAACATAATTAAATTGTGAATAAATACATAAAAAAAGTATAAGAAGAACTAAATGATGAATATAATGAAGAATATAATAAAATTAATCCAAAATATTGTTTAAAAGTATTTGAGATGAATATTTTTGAAAAAATATAAAAGTACCCTGAAAAAACAATAATATAAATAATTTACAAATAATTATAATTTATAAGAAAGTAAACATATATATATATATATATATATATATATATATATTTCTATATACATATTTTTAAATATATATATTTTATTTATTAAAAAATTATATAGTTTGATTTCATATATAGCTTTAAAAATAATTAAAAGTTAATTTTTTGATAATTTAACAATTTTAGTAATCATTTTTAATTCAATAGTATTGGCTTTTGATGATCCTACCAGCGATAATGATAATATAGCTTAATTAGATATGTTTTTTCTTATTTTTTATACATTAGAAATGTGCTTAAAGATACTTGCTTTAGGTTTTGTATTTAATAAAAGATCTTATTTAAGGGATACATGGAATCTGTTGGATTTTATAATTGTTTCTTCTGGATATTTATCTTATTTACTAATTTCTAATAGTAATGTGAATTTGAGTTCTTTGAGGTCTTTGAGAGTTTTGAGGCCTTTAAGAACTATTTCTAGTGTAAAATCTTTAAAGAAAATACTCAGTGGTCTATTTAGGGCTGTGCCTTTTTTGAAGAATTCGCTTATTGTAATGCTTTTTTTTTACATTATTTTTGCTATTGGTGGTTTATAATTATTTAGTGGAGCCTTAAAAAAAAGATGCTTAGAACTAGAAACTGGAATTGAATATGATTATGATGATAATAATTAATATGCTTTTTGTGTGACATCAAATGATTGTCAATAGTATGATAGTTAAAAAAGATTCATTTGTGGGAAAATTATAGGAAACCCAAATTATGGGATTATGAATTTTGATACTTTTGGTTGGTCTTTTTTGACAGTTTTTTAAGTTGTGACAATGGAAGGGTGGAACGATATTATGAGAGGTATTTAGTAGACTTTTTCAATGTGGTCGATATTTTATTTTATTGGAGCAATTTTTATTGGGACGTTTTTTTTAACGAATTTAACTCTGGCTATTATTTCGGTCAGTTATAATTAGTAATCACAAATTGAAGAAAAAGAAAAAGAAAAAGAAAAAGATAATACTTCAGGAAAAAAATCGAAAGGGTTTGATTTAGAGACTTTAAAGTAGAAAGGGGCATATATTTCAAATAAAATTTTATATAAATAGACGGAAGAAAAGAATGATAATAAAAAAAATAATGGGTTTTAGTTAATATTGACGAACTTATTTAATAAAAGAAATCTATCAAAAAGATTAGATAATTAAAAGGAAACTAATAAATAAAATATTGAAAAAATAAAAAATATAAATACAAATAATAATAATATAACAAATATTAATGCAAATATTAAAAAGAATAACAATAATAGAAATATTATTACAAATAATAATATAAATAGAGCAAATAATAATAATAATATAAATGATACTAAAAATATAAAAAAATTAGATAATACATATAATAACATAAATAATAATATTAATAATAGTAATGAAAATTATAATTATAATAGTGATAATAATGAAAATAATGATAATAATGATAATAATGTTAATGATAATATTAATAATAATAATAATTAATATAATGATAAAAATTCAAATTAAAACAATATATTGCTTACATAAAATATTGATGAATTTTTAATTAATTAAGTATAAAATGAAAGTTTTCATGAAAAAGCAAAAATGGATAATATTATTAGCTCTTAATATTAAAAAACTAATAATATTTTAATGAATAATAAAAAAAGAATTTAACTGAAAATACCTAATATAAATTTTATAAATAATATATGTAATTCGCCTTTATAAAGACAGCAATCAAAAATTAAATTTTTTGGTACAGAATTAAATAATAAATAAATTATAAATAAAAATACAAATTTTATAGATTAACAAAAAAATGCAAAAAATTAAAACTTAATAACTATAATTAATAATAATAATAATAATACTGAAATAGTTCTAAATAGTCCTAGCATTTAATAAGAAAATAGTCTCAATAATAAAAAAGATTAAAAAAAATATTAAAGGTAAATGTCTATAATTCCAAATAAATTAGACACAAAAATAATTGCAAAATAAACTTAAAGGTAATCTAAATAAATACAAACAAAAATTGTTGGAAAAATAAATAATATTTCCATATAAAATTAAAACATTAAATAAAAATAGATTTAGTAGATTTAATAGATTTAATAGATAATAATATAATAATAATAATAATAATAATAATTATAATAATAGTAATAATTTTAATAATTGTAATAATAGTAATAATAGTAATAATAGTAATAATAGTAATAGTAATAAATATAAAATCTTTATTGGAATATTAATTAAGGTATAATGTTAGAAAATTAATAATCCAAACCTTATTAAATATAAATTTCAAGCAGCAACTAAATAAATAGTAAATAAGACTTAAAATTTAGTAATACAATACTAAATTCATAGTAGAGTTTTCCTAAATAATAGGAATTTGAATAAAATCCTTAAAACAATCAAACATTAAATAAAATTAATTAATAAGTTATAATAACTAATTAATAATAATCTCATTCATAAATTGTAAATGACAATTATGAAGATGATTTTTTATAAAGAATTTGTTAGATAGTTGAATAGGATGAGAAAGATAGTTTCAAAAGTGGTGATTCTTCAATTGAAATGAATATTTATTAAAATCCTATTAATATAAATAGTTTAAAATAATAGAAAAAAAATAATAAATAAATTGAATTTGGGGGTACTAAAGTTAGTTTAGAGAGAAAAATAAACTCATATGGCTAAGCTTAAATTTAATTCGAAAATTAAGATGAATAAGTTTCCCATTTTTCAATAGAGAATCAAAATATATATTTAAATTCTGAAAAAAAAACTTATCCTAAAGAAAATGTAGAATTCTTATAATAAACTTAAATGGAAACTATTCCTATTAAGAAAAAAAATAAGAGAAAAGAAGAGAATTAAATTAAAAATTTATCAGAGAAAAAAAAGACTAGGAGAATTACTCTGAAAGTTGATTTATTGAAAAAAAAAACTATTATAGATAATAATAATTAAAAATTAAAAAGATAAGAAACTAAACGATTAAGTAAAAGACTAAATTTAAAAATGATTTAAAAAACTAAAACAGAGATAAACGAAGATAATGAATTTAATGCTTTTAACCCTCAATATATGAAAGCCATGGCTGTTTTTAGTAATTTAAATGAATTTCATTTCGAAGATGTATTACCTTCTAAAAAGAAGAAATAAAAGGAGATTAAAAAATAAAAAAGGATGTTCAGAATTAAATAGATAAAGTTTACTATTTAATATGTTTAATTGAGAAAATAAATCAGTAAAGTGAAAACTTTGAAAAATTTAAGGGCTAATTTCAATATAATTCCTTGTAAATAGACTATCAGGGTTTTATAAATGAAATAAAATTAATAAGATGAGTATATTAGGGAAAATGCGAATTAATAGAAATTTTTAGACGACGAAAATAATTCAATAAAGTAATAAGAACCAAAGATAAATTAATAAAATGACGTTTTTTATAAAAAAAAATCTACTCAATAATAAACTCTGTAAAATCAAAATGTCATAAATCATTCAGATAGTGGTTTTAATAAAAATGCTTAAGCTAGTCCTAATATAAAAAATTAGTTTTTAAATAAACTCAATTAAACTTTTAATCCATAAAATAAATTATAATACTAAGATAGTTTTAATAAAGTCAATAATAGTTTTTAAAATAAACAGTGCAAAAACTAAAAAAAAATTGATAAAATGAAAAAAAAACTCAACATAGATAATCCCATTTTTAAATGGGATTTGAAAAAGGCCAACTAATTAATTTTTTAAAAAATCCCTGAAAATGCCAATATAAATAAAGAAGAAAAAAAAAAAGATACAACCGAAAATAAAAAAGAAGAGAATTTAAATTTCTCCTTTGATTTATTCGCAAGCAACCAAAACCTTAAAGCTTTAAAAAAAGATAATATTCAATCTACAAATAACATAGAAAAGGAAGATCCTTAAGAACTCCAAATCCTAAGATTCGCTCTCGAACCAATTGAAAAACCTTATAATAATATCAGAAAAAACGAACTTTTGAATGCTGAGAAAAATTATAATTTCACTATTGAAGTACCCTGGTCTTTAGAGGAAGTTTTATAGCAAAGTTCCTATAGTAAGTCTGCTCATTAATATAAATAAATACTTTAATCATTGACTTATAAAACGAAAGATTTAGATTAATTCGAAGGCGGTGTTATTGGAATTATATTTGCTGTAAGGAGAATAGTTAAGAAGTTTGTACTTTCGAAATATTTCGATAATTTTATAATGTTATGTGTAGTCATGAATACTGTAGTTTTGGCTTTGGATGGGGTCATGAGTGATTAAGGGGAATATATTTTGAATTAATTTAATTTTTCTTTTACAATTATTTTCACTATAGATATGGGATTGAAGCTATTTGGAATGGGAGTGATTGAATATATAGCGGATAAAATGAATATTTTTGATTCAATTATTGTTTCCTTGAGTCTTGTAGAATTACTTATTTTAAATGATGGAACGTCTTCGAATACTAGTAAATTTTCAGCTTTTAGATCTATTAGAATTTTGAGAGTTTTTAGGGTATTAAGAGTCACTAGGTTAATTAGGAGTTTGTAGTTTATGAAAATTATGATGGAAGCCATTTCGAGTAATATCTCGAGTTTTATTTATATTCTGTTACTATTGATTTTATTTATATTTATTTATTCTTTATTAGGTTTATATTTTATATAAATTTATGTTTGTATGTATTTGTTTTTTAGGAATGTAAACTTTTGGTGGTTAGTTTAATTAAAAAGAAGCTGGAAGAATGAATTTTGATAGTTTATAGAATGCAGCATTAAGTGTATTTTAAATAATGACTATGGAAAATTGGAATGATATAGAAACTTCATGTTTAACTTCAAATATTAATCCTATTGTTAGTTTGCTATATTTAATAAGTTGGATTTTTGTTGGAAATTATGTACTTTTGAACTTACTTTTAGCAATTGTAATGGATTCTTTCAATTAAGAAGGACTGGATAAAGAAAAAGAAGAATATTTTTAAGGTTTAGATGTAAAGGAAGATATAGATTTTAATAATGTAAATGATGCTACATAACTTTTGAATCAATCAATTGGTTATTTAATGTAATCTGGGTATACTTAGAATTTATAATATAGTTAAGGCTTTAATTAAAAAAAAAATACATATAATTTAAACGAAAAATAATCATTAAAAAAATCTTAGATAAGTTCGAAAAAAGAATTCGATTAAAATTCAAAAGAAGAATATATGGAAAATAATATAAATGATAACATTGATAATGATTAAAATAAAAAATAAAAAAAATAAGATTTCGAAGATATAAAATGTAAAAAAGCTTGGTTTATTTTTAGTTAATAAAACAAAATAAGAATACAAGCATATAGAATAGTTAAACATAAATAATTTGAAAGTGGTATATTGGTGTAACATAAATATATATATATAAATATATATTATTTATATATATATAAATATATATATATATATATATATTATACCTACATAATATTTATAATTTTTTTTATTCATAGTCTTATAATATTAACCTCTATAAAGCTAGTAATTGATACATATTTTAATTCATCAAATCCTAGTGATTAATATGAAATATATTTAAGTAAGAAATTTGATATTATTTTTACTGTGTTTTTCGCTACTGAAGCTTTTTTGAAAGCCTTATCATTTGGTTTTATTTTAGATAAGAATTCTTATTTACGTGAAGAATGGTCTTAATTGGATTTTTTTATTGTTGTCAGTAGTTTAATTGACATTAGTGTAGAATCAATAAACCTTAGTGTTGTAAAAATACTAAGACTTTTACGTACTTTACGTCCTTTAAGATTTATATCCCATAATCGTTCCATGAAATTAATCGTAACTGCTTTATTGGAGTCTGTTGGTGGTATTGTGAACGTAGTTTTGGTTTTAATTTTAATTTGGTTAATGTTTGCTATATTAGCTATTAATTTAATGAAAGGGAAACTATAATACTGTGAATTTCCTTCAAACTATACCTTTACTGATGACTCTTAATATTAAATACATTAATATTAATGTAATTTAATAAATGGGGCTTCTTGGAAGACTAGAGATACTAATTTTGACAATATATGGAATGGAATGTTGACTCTTTTTGTACTTTCTACACTTGAGGGATGGCCAAATTATTTATTTTATTTTTTAGATGCCGATGAAGTTGGTCCTGTTAAAAACAACAGTTATTATTTTGTCATTTTTTCGTGGTTTTTATTTTCATTGGCAGTTTGTTTTTATTAAATCTATTTGTAGCTATTATGTCCTTTAATTATAATTTAGCCTCTAAAAAATCAAAAAATCAATACCTTACCGATAGCTAAGCTTAATGGATTGAATTGCAAAGGCTTATTTTGAAGTCTAATCCTGATTATTTATCTTTAAAACCGCCTGATAATAAGTATATATTCTATGTCTGGAAATTTTGCGAGTCTTCCATTTTAGATACAATAGTGATGATTTGTATAATCTTAAATATTGTGACTATGGGAATGGCTTATGAAACTGCTCCTATTACTTATAATGATATATTGAATAATATAAATACTTTTTTTATGGCTGTTTTTATAATAGAGGCTTTATTGAAAATGATCGCATATGGAATTAGGGGGTATTTTTACAAGGGATGGAATCAGTTTGATTTTTTTGTAGTTATGACTTCTATTTTAGATATTATTATGAGTTTCACTGGAAATAGTTTTATTAACTTTCTTAAAATAGGACCTTAGATAGCTAGAGTTTTTAGAGTTTTAAGAGTTTCCAGGTTATTTAAATTAATAAAAAGCTTTGAGAATTTATAAAAAATAATATAGACAGTTATTTATTCTTTACCTTCTTTATTAAATGTTACGGCTTTATTATTTTTAGTTTATTTCATTTTTTCAATCTTGGCTGTTTTTTTATTTGGAGATATAAAGTAAATCAATAATTATAAAAATAATATATAAATACAATAAAAAGTATATTTAAAATGTATATACGTATATATATAAATGTATATATGTAAATAAAGATATTTATATATATATAAATATATATATATATATATATATATATATATATATATATAAATATTAATTTATTTATAATTATAACCATTTACATATTTATGATATATAATTCATTTTATCTTTTTTATTTTTAGATAAGGAACTTTAATATCTAATGATAGAAATTTTTCTAATTTTCATTAATCTTTAAATTTGTTATTTATATGCAGTACAGGTGAAAATTGGTATATTTATATGTTTGATTTAATACATAGTGGTAATAGTTGGGCTTCTTTATTTTTTATAGCTTTTATTATTGTGGTTTAATTTGTAATGATGAATTTATTTATTCTTATTATTGTAGATTAATTTGAATAGAATTATATTAATAGTGATAATCCTTTGAATGAATTTAAGGAATTTGAGGAAAACTTTAAGAGTGTTTGGGCTAAATATACTTAAAAAAATCATGGAATTAAAATTAGTGAAAGACTTTTAACAGATTTATATTTAGAATTAAAAATGCCTTAAGGATTTGAGTATAAATAAAAAGAAAATGCTTTCAGAGAAAAAATAAAGGAAAATTTTAAAGATATAAAAAATGAAGAATTAGAATAAAAAGTAGAAAAATTTAAAGTCTAATAAAAGTAAATAGCTGCTAAAAATATTATGTAAATGAATATTATTTGTGATTATGAAGAAGGATATGTATACTTTAATGAACTTATGTTTTTTATATAAAAATATTCATTAATTGATAGTATTTATGATGTTAATAATCAATATAAAATATAGGAAAATAAAGAGTATGCTTAAAAGTATTATAAAGGACTGGAATTAATAAAAAATGAAGAAAAAAATACATTCAAAAGAATTAATATTAAAAGAAAAAAAGTAATAATAATATATATATATATATATATATATATATATATTATATGCATATATATAAATTTATATAATAATTTTATATAGTAAAATTTAGCCAAATAAAAAATTAGTTAATTAAAAGTCACTTAGGGTGTAAATCCAATTGTAAGTCGTTTATTTGTTGAAATGTCATATAAAAGTTGGAAGAAATATAGTTTACAAATTTAAAATAAACTATTAAACACTTTAATTGATTAAAATGATATTTCGAGCGAAAGTGATGATACTGATGAAGACTAAGAAATAGAAGAAAATTTTAGATCATAATAAGATATTTTTTTTAATATTAATACTGAAATAAAAGAGGAAAATGATAAAATTATTTTATTTAATATGTAAAAAAATTCTAATTAAAACAAAATTATTAAACGAGAAAATACTATAAAATTTCAACGGGAAGATATAAAACATACATTTATTCCTACTATTTTTAGTAGTTTTAATAATTTTTTCGTTTATTTACCTGATACGTAAATATACAAGGATGATTTTTTTGATTTTTAGGAGGATAATCTATATTATGACAGAAAAATTAAAGAAATTAATAAAAAAAATTAAGATAATAAATCGAAATGCCCGTCCCTTTAAAAATTTGATACTTAATTAAATAGTAGTAGTTGTATCTAAAATAATGATAAATTAAATACTCATATTGATAAAAAAGTTACATTACCTATTGAATTTGTTTTTCATAATTAAAATGAAAAAAAATTAAGTATAAATGAACATAAAATAAATGTTAAATTTAATTTAAAATGATTAAATATTAATTTATATTAATTTTTTTTATTTATTTAGGTTATTATATAATGTATTGTAAAAAAAAAGTTATTTATATATTTTTTATTTAATTTTAATAAAAATAATTTTTATTTTCTAATTTATTAAAAATATTTTTCTATTTAATATTTAATAGATTTAAATATCCTATCAAAAATATAATAATATAATGAAAATCTTAAAAAAGAAGAAATTTTATAAAATTATTTATAAATAATTAACTTAAAAATGATAATAATTAAAATATAAATAAAATTAATTTTTAAAAAACGAAATAAAATTTTCATGAAAATGATTTATAATTTTTTTATTTTTAAAAAATAAAATAAAACAAAATAAAAAAATTAGTTTTTATTATATTAATACTATATACTTAAAATAAATATTTATAATTTTAAAAAACTAAAAATAAAATAGATTAATTAAAGAAAATATTTTTTAAAATAAATCTAGTTTATATTGATCTTATTTATAATTAGAAAAATAAATATATCATATAATATAAGTTGAGAAAAAATTATATTTTTTTAAATATAAATATCAGAAAAAAAAAAAAAAAAAACCATTTATATAAAAGTAATATATTCATACAAAAGAATTTATTTACTAATTATAAATTGTTTCTTATAAAGAATTTTAAATTTAATTATATTAAAAATAAGATTTTCCGCATTAATAATCTTTTTTTTTCTAAATATTTTTTTCAAGTAATTTATTATTATCGAAATCTTATAAATATTATAATTATTAATTTTTTCTTAAATCTATTTTAGCTATTGCATTTTATAGTCCAAACATTTCTAATGCTTTTTAAGATGCATAAATAATTGGAGTTTCTCCTTAATTATTTAATATATATTAAATCACCACCAGAATTAATTACCAAACTTATAATCTATATATATATATATATATATATATATATATATATATATATATATATAATTATATAATTTTTTTTTTTTAATAAATACATTTTCTTAATTTGATAAAAAAGCATAATGTAATGGCGTATTTCCTTCTAAATTTTTTATATTTGGATTTGCTATTTTATTAAGTATTAGCCATTAAACAAAATCTAATTTTTTAAATTTACAAGCAATATGTAAAGGAGTATTCTCTTAATTATCTTAAGTATTAATATCTTCTTACGAAAATCGAAATCCCATTTTAATGAATGTATCAAATGATTCGAATTATATCGAAAAGAATAATTTTTAAACTTTAAAACTATGCTATTTATTTTATAAAGGGGAATTAATATCTATTTATTAAGAAATACTTCTTAATTTTTACAAAGATTAATTTTTTTTCATAAAATTTACTTTTTAGTTTAATATATGTTCATTTTGGTCATTTTTTTATTTATTTAATAAATCTTTATTTACTGGAGATTAAATTTAAAAGGAAAAATTTTGTATTCTTTTTTTTATTTAGGATTTTTTTTCTATTATTATTTAATTGTTCGGTGTAAATACATCATTTACAAGGCTTTTTTTTCTTTAAAAAGATAAGTAAATTTAACTTATAGATGGATTTTTTTAATCAAAGGAAGCTTTTTTCTAAATTTTTATATATTAAGGTTATATATTTGTTATTTATTCAATTATTTATTTATATTAATGATTATATTAAGCTTTTTTTTAATCTTTAAATTTTTGGAATATTTTCTATTTATTTTTTTTACGAAAAAAGCTTTGTATTTTAATTATTGATTATATTTATTATTTATTATATGATTAATTTTTCGAGAAAAATTCGGTTTTTTCATTTTTTAAAATATCAGAAGGAGGGGGGCCTCCAGTATAAAAATTTAGGAAATTTTATTAGATTTCTTTAATTTTATTTTAATCGAATATTTTTGGTTTTTTTTAAAAAGAATTTATTAGTCTTTTTTATTTTCAATTTTTATACATAGTTTTGAAGGAAATTTATATGTTTTTTTATTATAATTTTACTATTTATTATTGCAAAGTATGTTTATTCGATTTTTTTAATATTTTTAAAATTCTTCTTTTCTTAATTTTAATATTTTCTATTCTTAAAGTTCATTCAAAGTCATCATTTATAAGTTTTATATGCAATTTATTACTTCATCAGATGTTTTTACCCTTTTAAAAATTAGTTTATAAACTCAGATCCTAATATATCTACATTAGGAAGCTTTATTTAGATTTTTTAAATATATTTTTAATATAGTCTTGTTTATTTTTGATGTATTTATTTTTTTTTTCTTATAATTATTAGAAAATTTTTTTTTTTTCACGAATTTCTTATTCTTTTTGTAAACATTTTTACTTTTAAATTAAAAATTATTATCGAGATTTTTTTAATTTAATCTTAATTTCTTCATAATTACTAATTATTTATTCGGCCAGGAAAATTTCCATCTAAAAATTAAAAATTAATATAAAATATATATATTATTATTATATTACTTCGTTTATTATTGAAGGATCGATAATATTTAAAATTTACTGAATTTTTTACTTATCTAAACATTAATTATATAATTAGCTAGTATTTGCTAAAAACTATAATTCTTCAAAACTTAAATTTTATTAATCTTGAAATTTAAAGAGTAAATTATCTAAATAAAAAATATAAAAATAATTAATATGAATATATATATAAATATAAAAATATATAAATATATAAATATATAAATATATATATTTATTTAAATATAGAAAAATATATATTAGATAAATATAAATATATTTATATATGTATTAGTTTAAATTTTAATATTTAAATATATTTACATATATTTTTATTATTTTTAATATATAACCTCTTTTTTTTATCCCTAAATTTTCTTATATACCTTTTTAAACGAAAGGTAAAAAGCTTATTTATAACCAATTTGATGATGCTATTTAATCATAATAAACATTTTTTTTATCATTTCTTATTTGTTAAAATTATTATTCGTTTTATTAGTCCCATTATTAAATGTTTTAGTTTTAGTTTTATTCTTTACTATCATTTTTTTTATATATTTTTAATTAATTAAGTTAGTTTTAAATTGAATAATTTCCATATTTTAACAAATTTTAAAAAATTTATTAAGTATAATCTTAATAATCATTTTTTTGAATTAATATTTAAATTTTTTCCTAATTTTTATTAATATTTCTTTCGTTTAAAATATTTTCAATCATAAATATATTTTCAAACTATAATCCATATTTAACATAAATGATATAAATATACATAATTAATATATATATATATTAAATATATTTATATAAATTAATATTTAAATATATTTTTTATGTAGTTAAATATATATATTTTTATTTTTCATTTAAATACTTCATTTATTTTAGATATAATTAAATTTTTTAACCTATATTTTAACATTTAATATTTTGATTTTATTTATAACCAATTATATTTTTAATTTTTTTAACTTTAATCATCATTTTTTTTTCTTTCTTGAATTTATACAATTTCGTTTAATTCAATTTTCTTATTCCAATTTTAATATATTTAATCTATTTTTTTCATTAAAGATTTACAAATATAATTTTTTTTATCTTCAATATTATCTTTATTTTTTATATTATCATAATTTATATTGAATATACTAAAAATACTTTTTAATTTTTAAAAAAATTATATACAATTAAATTTTTATTACTTGTCAGCTAAAATAAATTCTGCTTTATAATTTTAATTCTATTTTTTTATATTTTCTTCTACATTTTTTAATAGTAAGCATTATAGAATTATAGAAAGTAAAGGATTTATAATTTAATAAAAATTATCAAAATATATTGTTTTTTCTTTTATTTTTTCTAATGTATTATTATCAATTAAATTTAAAGATGTGCTTTACTATTTTTAAATATTATTTGCTTTATTTACATTACTTGAACGATTTCTTTTTTATTATGATGACAATTATTAATTATTTGATAAAAAATAATATAATTAATTCTAAAATTATTAAAATTTTTTATTTATGTCATATGTTTATTAAAATTGATTATTTTGGGGATTATATATTTCTGAATTTCTTACAGATGATAAAGATTATTTACTTTATTTATTAAATGAATTCATTTCTATAATATATAATAAGTAATTATATGATAAAATTAAAAAATAATTAAAAAAAATTATCAGTTTATAATAATAAATATATTTAAAATAAATAAAAAATAAATAAAGAATATAAATATAATGAAAATATATATATATATATATATATATATTAATATAATTATATATTATATTTATATTGTTTTTGTTTATATATACTGTTATTTTTTTAAACATACAATCAAAAATATAAAAATCTAATTTTATTTTACTTATTTTTTTATTAAAAAAAAAAAATATTAACAATATATATAAATAAATGTAAATCTTTATATATAACAAAAAATATATAAAATAATCATTATTAATAAGTAATTTCATCTAAAAAAGCTTCAAAATCATCCTACTTAATCTCAATAATTGAACTCTCAAAATCATCTTAATTAAATTCCAATTTTAACTCAGAAGCTGCCTTTTAAAACTTAAATGCAAAAGTACTAAAGTAAAAAAATAATGCATATATATACAATTATATATATATATATATATAAATATATACTTTTTTTATTAGAGATAACTGCCTATAACCCCAACTATAGTAAAAGTATTATTTTAAGTATTTTTCATACAAAGTACTATCGGTTTAATTTTTTTGACTTTTTCTTTATAAATATCCATTAGAAAAACTGCTAATTTTTACAAAGAATAAGGGTGTTGAAAATACACATTTTATGTATTTGTATCATTATTTAATTTAACAAATCTAAAATCACTACAAGATGTTATTAAGTCTCTTTCTATTGTAAATTTAGCCTCATTTACTAGTGCTTTTTAGAATAAAATAGCCTGTTCAATTCCTTTCATTATCATTTTACAGCATCCTGTTTATAGTGCTTCATAGGCCCACCAAAAATTACTAATTCTACCTACTAAAGTTTCATTTTAGAGTTACTATTTTTCCTCAAAAATCTATAAAAGTACTTACTTAGGGCATTCTAATATAGCTGTTAGGCTATATACATAATCAATGGCTGATATTTGAGTCTTTTCATCTATCTATCTTACAAAAGAACTAAAAAGTACATTATAAAGTTTAAATTTATTAGCCTCTTTATGTATATTTTCCTTTAATTTCTCCTTGTATTAAGTTTACATAAATTTAAACTATTAATTAGCCTCTTCTAAAGGTATACCTAACATTGCGATAAATTTCTTTAAATTTCTTTCCCCATTTTCAGTCCATATACCTAATTTCGATGCAAAATAACTAGAATAATACATACTTTAGTATAAATTCCAGCTTCTAAGGCAAATAAATCTATATCTAAACAAAAATATAAAATATAAAATATAAAATATAAAATATAAAAATATATAAATATAAAATATAAAATAATATAAATATATATATATATTATATATATATATTTATATATATATATTACTCATTAGATGGTTCAATAAATCCTATCTATTTAATATCTTTTTAATCTGTATTTAAGATGTTTACTTTTTCGATTTCAATCATTAAGAATTAACACATATCATCGTATTATTCTTAAGTGATTTTATTATGTATAAGCATGTCAGTAGCTCCTAAAATAGCACACCATAAAAATTCATTATTTTCTTTATTTAATTATTAACTCATAGAATACATTAACATACTTGTTGATTTTCCATAGAAAAATCCTTCGTAATAATTTTCCATTTTTCTTTATTAGTCAAGTTTAAGTTTTTTTTAAGATTTATTTTTATATTTTAATTTATTTTTTCTTTTCTTTTTTCTTATATCTTTATTTTCTTCTTCCTCTTCATCATCGTCATCATATTCTTAATCTTCTTCTTCATCTTCATCTTCTTCTTCAATTTCTTCGTCATCCTCAACTTCAATTTCTTCTTAGGATTCTTCAATTTAAGAATCTTCACTATCATATTAACTATTATTTTATTAATCATAACTATTTTCTAAAATCTCTTTGTCATTTTTATTTTTAGGACAATTTTCTTAATTTTAAGTGCCATCTTCAATAACAATAATCTAAAAATATATATAAAAAAATTAAATATATATTTTTATAGAAATATAAATATATAAAGAATTATTTAAATATATATATATATCTATAAATATATAATTATATAAATATATAAAAAAAAAATTACATTGCTTTTATCTATCAAATTATGATGATGTATAGGTCTGTGATTATCAAATACATATGCTTTTATATTAGTTTTGTTCTTTACAAAATCATTTTCTGTTAAATCCATTAGTCCTCCACAATTCAAAAACAATAAGCTTTGAATCTAATCTTTTTATATTTTTTTTTCTTTTATATTTTTTTTTTATTACATTGATGTTTTATTAACATTCTTCTAATGAACTTTATAATTAAGAATAGCCGGATACAGGATATATTTTATATGTAATTAAATCTTATTTTAATAAACCTGTTAATATTCTTAGAGCACCCAATGAATCGACATCAAAAGATACAAATATAGCCACTGTTACTTAACCATTTATAGCTGATTTCTATATTTTCTCATAACAATATGTTATTTGTATTTAATCTATAAGCATTTTCTTTATTTTTTTTATTAATATATTATTTATTTTTATATTTTTTTATTTATATTTTAAATATTTTTGTTTAATATTTTATTTTTAATTAAAACCCGCGAAAACATGCATTTTTTATATTGTCTTTTAAAAATATACATTTAATTTTTAAAAAATAATGTAAATGACTATTTTTAATATAAAATAAGTAAATATATATTTTTATAAAATAAAATTAGTATTATTTTTCAAAAACATATATAATTAATATATATATATATATATACATATATATAAAATAATAATCATTTTAAATTTTCAATAATAATTAAAGCAGATATATATTTATTAATATTATCCTATTATTATTATAAATCTAATGTTTCTAATTCATTCATTATATTCAAAAGTTTATTTACATATTTTATAAAAATCGTATTATTAATAAGAACATTTTCAAAAATATATTATTTAATATTTAACCAGTTTGTTGATATTTATTCATAATTATTAATATTATTTTTATTTTCTAATTAAGATATTAAAAATAAATTTTATTTTCCTGCCCAAAATACAAATTATTCTTAATTCATTTATTTTTAATAAGATTATTTATAAAAATCATTTAAAATATATTATTATTAACTTTAAATATTAAATATTTTAATTAAAAAAAGCAAAAAATTCTCATTTATAATTTTACTACTATTATTATTATCATTAAAAAAGATCTAAAAAATATTAAGTATTATTTAAAATAACTCTAAATTTTTTCTTTAAAAACTTAAATTAAATTTAATAAAACATCATATATATTATTTATATCATTATTTAAAAAAAGATTTTCCATATTTTCCAAATTAAAAGAATTCTATTTAAATATTAACTTAATATTCTCCTCAAAATTATCTTTATTTAAAAAAGCCTTTTCTATTTAAAAATATAAAGTTTCTTCTTTTAAAAGAATAAAGCTTTCACAAAAAAACTTAAATATAATTGCATTTAAATCTTCGAAATAAATTAATATTAAAACTTAAATTTATTTGTATTCCTTTTCATTCAAAATACACTATTCTAAAATTTAATAAACCTTATCCTCAACCACATTTTTTAAACCAAATTTATTCTAAAAATGTTCATAAATTTATAAATACAAAGGCTTGTAAATATTTTGATTATTTTTGAGAACCTTTATATTTTCCGTAATTATAGAATTCATCATTTTATTAATTTAAGACATATATTTTGCCGAATTTTTCTTTTATATTATATTCATTTTATTTTTTAGTAAGGTATTTCTAATTTCTAAAGCACAATTTTATTATTACGCATTGTTTTTTTCTGGCTATTATTATATTTTAAATGAATAAATTTGTCTTTAATTCTATATATTTTAAATATTAAACGAATAATCCCCTTAACTTAAATTTTTTTTTTTACTTTTTTATTATTATTAACTTTTCTTTTCTGAATTAAATTTTGTATTTTAAATAAAACCTTAACAATAACTCACTTATAGACCTGTTTTGTTTTCCATAATAAGAATTTTATTTTATTTAATAATCTCTTTTTTAAAAAGAAGTTTGGCTTAATTGCTATGTCTTAAAATTTTGTTAAAAGTCAAGTTTTCGTGTTAGTTCTAATATTATTTTTTCCAATTCAATTATTTACATTTATTGTATTTTTATTTGGTTTTCTTTTGCATTTAATTCATTTCTATAATTATTTTATTTTTTAGGACTTTAACTTTAAATAATAGTCTATATATTTGGTTTGTTAGTACTTTTTTCAAATGTATTTAATGTACCTATTCTATTTTATATTTAATTATCATTTTTATTATTATTTTAACTATCTTTTGTGTCAATAATAGATTAATGTTCTAGTTTTTAAAAAGACTTAATTATCTATTTTTAATCGTATTATTGTTAAGTTATTAAAAAAGAATTTTAAAAAAAATCTGTTTATGAATTAAATTGAATTATTTTTTGTTTACTTTAATTTACTTATTCTTAATCACTATTTATGTAACTGATTTTTACATTTTCAATCTATTGAAGAGAGTTGTTTTGTTATTATTAGTTAGTATTGTCTTCTTACATTTATTATTATTTTTATTGTATTTTATCTTATTTTTACTTTATTTATTATATTTCATTTATATCACATTATTTGTTTTCTTAAATTATATTTGGAATTTTATTTTACTAAATGTTATTTTATTTATTATTTTCTTTTACGACTAAGCTTTTTAATTATTAAATATTTATTTTTGTGTTCAGTTGCTTTTTTTAAATTTATTATTAAGAAATTTTATTTGATAGTTATTATTTTTAAAGTTAATTATTATTTACATTTTAATTATTTTATTTTATCAAATTTGTAATTAATTTTATTTTTTAAGGAGTTTATTAGCTTTTTTCAGTTTATATATTTGATTATCTATTCTACTAAACAAAATTAATTTATTATTAACTTTAAGATAATTATAAGCTTTAATTTACAGCTGTAAGATCATTATTATTATTATTATTATTATTATTATTATTATTATTATTATTATTATAATTTTAATTCTATTATTTATTTAAAAAATTTATTTTTGTTTTTTAATTTTATAATTTTTCTTTTATATTATTGTTTGATATTAGATAACTATTTAAACTTTAGTATTAGCTATCTTTTTGTTTCTCAATATCATCTAATTTTATATCATTTAATTAATTTAAACTATAATTTTTTGTTTAATAATTTAAATCAATATTTTGTTTGTATTCTTATAATATTTTTTATTCTTATTATTTAAAATTAATTTATAATAATTAATTTTATGATTATATTTCTTCATAAAAATTTTAAAAATTATTAGTTTGACAGCTATTATTAATTACAATTATTTCTGTTTGTATTTCTTTGTCAAATTAAATATTTTCAGTTTAATTTTCCTTATTATCTTATTAAAGTTCAGTTTAAATATAATTATCTTCAAAATGAATTCTGTCTGTCTACATTTAACTATCTTTCAACTAAAATAAATCAAAAGTATCAACACAAACATCATTTGAAAATAAACATTATTCAGTACCAGTAGAAGAAACATCATCCTAATTATCACTTAATAATTTATGAGATTATTTATCAATTATATATTAATATACGAGCTAAAATATAAATAAAAATAAAAAATATAAAAATATATAATAATATATATAATATATATATTTTTTACTTATATTATATACATATTTTATATAATATTTAAATATAATAATTATATGAATTATATATATATTTTAATACATTATCAATTTATTATTATTATTCTAATAAAAATCTATTATTCTATTAAAATGATATTTTTTTTTAATATAATTAATTTTTAATTTTCCTATTTTCCCATATATCTAAAAACTCTTTTTCTTTTATTTTTAATGCACTTTTCCAATCTATATCTTTAAATTTCATAATATTATGTATATTTTACATAATTTAATAATTATATTATTATTAAATTTCTTCTATTTAACTTTTTAAAATTTTGTTTTATTTTTCAACTTTTTTTCCTTATTTTTTTAAAAACCGATTTTTTATTTTTAATTATGAAATACTTTCTTCTAAAATTTTATTTTTTTCATTATTTTATTTTATAATTCTAATATCATCATCAATTTCTTTTTAATATTTTTTATGAAGTTCCCCTATTTCACAAAGGAAATTTTTTTCCATTTAGTTTTATTTTTTATATAGATTAATGAATATATTCTCACTTAGTGTAATTTAGTTATTCCATATACACTCAATAATAGTTGCCCTTTCTTTACATTCTAAAGCTGTTTATTTAATTATTTCACATAAGCAAGTTGTAAAAACATTCTAATAATAATCGAACATATCAACTATATTGAAATTTTAATTAGTAATAAGTTCCTATAATTTTTCTTCTAACCATTTTTATATATTAATTACTTACTATCTTTTAGCACTCGTTTATACTGAATATGAAAATTATTTCATTGCTCTTTATAATTTTTCTTCTTTTTACATGTTTGGAATGACATTTTCTGATATATGAACACTTTCGAATTTTTTGGGCATTTTTTCTTTATTTAAAATAATTCCTTCAAATATTGGACTATTTTTATGGAAAGTATTTTTTAGTTTTAAATTGAAATTTTCGCTATTATATTTTTATTTTTCTACATTTTAAAACAGATCTTTATTATAATAATTATTAACATTATTATTTACTTATTTAGATGAAGTTCTAAAATTATATTCACTTAACATTTAAGGTTCATTTATTTTAAATATTTAATTTTTAACAGAAGAAGGCTATATTCAGTTATTTTCAATGTTTGTTGATTTTTTCTTTTATGATAATGAGAAATTTATATTTAATTAACGCAATTTCGTATTTATTAATTAATCACTTTCATTTTTAATTCGATCAGAATTTTATAAATTGCTTATTTTTGTTACTTGTGAAGCATTTTCTATTTTTAAATTCATTTCTTTCTTTTTTTTTTCACCCACCCAAAAAAAAAAAAAAAGAAAAATTATAATAATATTTTTATAAACAAATTAACGTTTTTTTTTTGTTTTGTTTTTTGAGTTATATAATTTTTATTTTTAAATATATAAATATTAATGATTTATGAATATTAGTATATTTTTATATATATTGATTTTTTTATCATTATTATATATATTGATTATTTCATAATTTTTCGATTTCTTCTAATAATAATTATTATAATTCCTAGTTTTTTTAATTTTGCCATTAATTTTTCTATAAATCATAAATAAAACGCTAAGGTCCACTTAATAAAAAAATAAATTATTTATATATATGTAACATTATTAATTAATTATATATATATATATAAACTTAAATATAATATTACTTTAGATAATTTCACATTTTAAAATATTTTTTTTATAAATAGAAAGAAAAAATAAGATACCTTAATGGTGAAGAATACCAAATTTAATGATTTGGTTTTTATCTATTTATTACAAATATTTTATTTTGCTATGCTGTTACTTTTAAAACTCCATCACTAATTTCTACATCTGTAATTTTTTTATTTTAAGATTCTTCCATTGCATTTCCTAATTCCTTATATTATAAAAAAATAATAGTAAAAACTTTGCAAGCGTTATTATTTCATTTTTAAATTTCAAAAAAAATAAAAAAAAACAAATACATGTAGAAAATCGGAACAATATTTCTAAAATTATTTAGATGTTAATCCATTTATTATTTCTTAATTTGATTTACAAAAATAATATTTTATTTAAAATTTAAAAATATATTTTAATAAATTCATTTTGTTATTATTTTTAGTTTATTTATTAATATAGATATATATATATATATATATATATATATTTTACAAAAGATATTATAATTTATTTATTATATATTCATTCTATATATTTTTAAAAACTTCGAAAATTCCATTTTATTCTAATTATATTCGATATTTATCAATATTTTCTTCATTTATCATATATATAATTTTATCAATTATTTATTTTTAATAATATATATCATTATCTAATAATATGTTATAAAATAAACTCAAAATATTTAACTAAATCAACTATTAATGAATACGAAAATCTCCTTTTTAAATAAAATTAAATAATATATCAATAGCTTTCGAATTCTAATATTAAAAAGCTATTTTTATAATTTCCTATACAATCTAAGGATAATGCTAAAAAATAACTAAACCATCTAAATAAAATATAATTTAAAGTACTTCTTTTTAATATTAAAATATATATTTATCACATATTTAATAATAGTTTTCATTATAAAAAAATTAAGAATTCAATGAAAAGTTCTTTATTATTTTTTTAATACATTTAAATGCATATATAACTATAATTTTTTATGAATCATTAATTAAATTAATTATTTTTATTTCAATTAGTTGATTTAGATTGATTAAAAATTTCTTTTTTTAAAAAATTTTGAGACAAATTAATATTATTTATTCAGAAATATTATTGTTAAGAAAAATTTTATTTATAATTTAAAAAATAATACTTTATTTTGAAATTATATTTTGAAATTTATTACTTAAAATATTCTTTATTAAAATACAAATATTTTATATCAATTTAAAATTTTAGCTTTCTTCTAATGTTATTTCTTATATTTTTTCTAAAAAATCTAAATCTAATATTTATTAATTTATTATACTACTTTTTTTATTTATTTATGATAAAAATTCCACTATAAATTCAATTATAGTTTTTTTATGTTTTTATTTTAAAATATTATCTAAACAAATTAAAAGTTAGCCATATATAATCTAATCAATATATTCTTCTTTATATAAAAAAATTATAAATTAAATTAAAGTTATTTATTCTTTTTCTTCCAATTAAATATTTTATAATTTTTCTATTGTTATTTTAAGCCAATCTGATTCGTTTTTTATTTAATTTATATCAATAAACGATTAAATATATTATTTTTTAAAAAATTAAATATCTTTATATGATTATTCTGTATCTTTATCTTGATTTTCATATTATAAGCGTTTATTATTTAATATTTATTTCGTTTTCTTTTTTCTTATTTTTTATTGCATGCATTTTTTTCTTTAGTTTATGAATTATTCGAAAGTATTCATTTATTTTTAAAATACATAAAAAAAATTTTAATTTTTTTTTACAGGCAAAATATAAATTATTAAAAATTCAAAAAAAAAAAAATGAAAATATTTAAATTAAAAAAAATAAATTAGAAAAATAATTTTTTATATAAAATTTGATAAATATATATTTTTTTTTTATTTATTTTAATTATATTAGATAATATATTATATCTATATAAAAATATTTTTATATATATATATATATATATATATATATATTTATATATATTTATATATATATGTTATAATTTATATATATATTTATATTAGATTTCCATTTTATTGATTAATAATAATAAAATTTAATAAAAAATAATAAATTAAACAATTACAAATATATTATATATATATAAAAATAAAAGGTTATGTATAAAGAAAAAATTAATTAATTTTTTGAATATCAAATAAACCTCATATAATAAACATAAATAAGATAAACTTAATAATCCCTTATTTAAAAGCATTATAGTAGAAATAATTAATAAAACAAAAAAAACATTAAAGTATAAGAAATATATATTAATAATAACTTATATTAATAGAATAGTTTTATTTCATAAAAAATTTAATAATAAAAAAATATTAAATAGCCTACTTAAGATAATTTAATTTAAAAGAGAAAAAGTGCCTGTCTATAGTAATTTTTATTGAATAAATGCTAGTCTAATAACTGCAATTCAACGAACAAATAAATTTAAACTTAATAAACAGATTTTAAATAAAAAATTTATCCTAAAAGTAAATCTTAAATAAATAATGTTTCTTAAACTAATATGAACAAATAAGAAATTTAAACTAAATAAAATAATATTTGTAATATTTTTTTTTCATTTAAAAATAAAATAAAAAAAATTTAACAATTTTTTTATATTTTTTAGAAAATGAAGTAAATCAATATAAAGAATATCAAAAATAATCAAAAATATAAAATTTAAATGAAAAAAAAAGTAAAAATTAGTATTAAATTAACAACTTCTTCCTTTAAACAAGTCTTATGCCTCTTAAGAAAAAAAATAAAGTACCAATAACTCATTTAAATTTTTAAAAACATAAAATAATAATTTAAATTAATAATCATCTAAAAGAATACAATAATGTATGAATAATTCAACAAGATTTTTAAAAGAAAATAAACCGTGTTTTTTTGAAATTCCTTAAATAAAAAATAAAGTAAGTAATAATAAATTTAATGACTTAAAAGATGAATTTAATAAATTTATTGAAAAAAATCCAGATTTTTTATAATATGCTATGAAGGAATATTTAAAACAATATGAAAAAAAAAAAAAATAGTTAATATGGATAATTAAATTGAGTAATCTAATGAAGAACAATAAGAACAAACTTAGAATAAATAAAATAGTATGGATTTAGAAAAAAAATAAAATAATGATTATAAGGAATAATATACAAATAATTCTAATCAAAACTAAATATTAAATAAAGAGATTAATAAATAAACTTTTTAAATAATAGAAGATAAATAAAAATGATTTGTTAAAAAACATATAAAATATTTATAAAATAAAAAATAATTATTTAATAAAATATTATGATATGTATATATATATATAAATATATATATATATACACATATTTATATTTTTATTTAATATATAAAATAAAATTATTTAATATTTAAATTTATTTTAAAATTTAAATAATAATACTATAATCTTATTAATAAATTTAATCAAAATGATTTTTTATATATTGTTCGATTATAATTCCGTAATAGACTATTCTTTAATTATTAATTTAAAATATTTATTTTTATAAATTTTTAATTTATAGAATATTTTATTTTATAATTAAATAAAAAATAAAATTTTTCTTATTATTCTAAATATAAGCAAATTTGAACACATTAAAAAAATATTATATATATATTTTCTATATATAAAATATATTTAGTTTCTTTATAAATAAAAATCTGTTTTAATAATTTATTTATTATAACTAAATTATAGAATTTTTTAGTTTAGTTTTTTTAGTTTTTATAAATAAAATTAATAAGAATATAACATTTTGAATAAATTTTGTTGTCCTATATTTATTTTCTTTTATAAAAAAAACTTAATTTTAATATAATATGATGTATTTTTCATTATTATATCAAAAAATAAAAATAAAAAATTATATTTTTATTTTATCCGCCATTATTTTTTAAAAAAAAAAATAAACTAATTTTTTATAATTAATTATCAATATAAAATTTTCATTTATATTTATATAATCTTTTAAAAAAAATCAAATAATAGAATGGCTAAACAAAAACAAATCAATAAAAAAGGAAAAAAAGATTAAAAAAATAAAAAAGAAACTTAAAATGAATATGAAAAAGATGAATAAAAAAAACAATAAAAAAATGAAGAAAACACTAATGAAAATCAACAAATAGACGATTTATAAACTTAAAAAATAACATTATATAATTTACTTGATGTCCCAAAAACAGCATCTATTGAAGAAATTGTAAAAAAATAAAAATCTATTTATTAAAACAAAAAATATAGAAAAAAGCTTATAAATAATTAGCCTTGAAAATTCATCCTGATAAAAATAAAGATGATCCTACAGCTAAAGAAAAATTTTAAAAAATTGTTGAAGCATATAATATTTTATCAGATCCAAATAAGAAAAAAGAATATGATGAAACAGGTAATTTTTATTTTACTTTAAATTTAAAAATATATATAAATATAAAAAAGGATCATATGGAGATGATTTTAATTAATAAGCTTTTGAATCTGCTTATTCTTTTTATAGAAGTATATATAAAAAAGTTGAAAAAAAAGATATTGATGATTTTGCTACAAAATATAGAAATTCAGATATGGAAGAAGAAGATTTAATTAACTTTTATAATGAGTATTTTTTTTTTATTTATTTTTTTTAATAATAAATAAAAAAAAAAAATTAAATTTTTTATTTAGAAATAAAGGAAATATTAATAGTATATTAGAGTGTATTCCTTTAAGTAGAAATGAAGATATAGATCGATTTATTAAAAAATATGAATAATTAATAAAAGACGGAAAAATAAAGAATTTAAAAGCTTTTTCTACAAGTTAGAAACAAATTAGTTTATTAGATGAAAATGAAGAAGAGGGATTTTAAGAAGCAAATGATGATCTTAAAGAATTAACTATGTAAATTTTAAGTAAGAAATAAAATTAAATGAGCTTTTTGGATATGATTGAATAAAAATATTCGTAGAAATAAAATAAAAAAACGAAAAAATAAAACGTTGAGAACAATGAACAGGAGAATTAAAATGGTAATAAAGTTCAATAAAAGAAGCTTAAAAAAAAATGATTTTTTTAGTTTATAAAAATAATAATATATTATGTCTAAATTTTTTATATTAATATTATTTTTTTTGGTTTTTATTTTTAATATATATATAAATTAATTTTTTTTTTTTTTTCCACAATTATATAAAATATTAATTTAATAAAAAATAAATAAATTATATTATATACTATATATAATTTTTAAATAAATAATAACAAAGAAATACATATGACAGATACTGATTTTTATAAAGAAGGTTCTATTTAATCTTCTTTGAGAAATTTACGTAAAAACGATAAGTTAGCAGTAAAAATTAACAAAAAATCAAGTAGTTGTTTTAGTTATAAAAGCTTTAAAAAAAATCTTTTAAATAATAAAATGAATTCAATATGCGATTAAATTTCTAAAATATAATAAATAGTCTAATAATTTTAAGATTCTAATTAAATAAATTAATAGTAATTTATAAAAATAATTGAATAAATTGCAATCAATAAAGATTTGAACTTTATTAAATAGTTTTGGGAAATACTTTCTATTAATTATTAGTTTGAAAATCTACCGAAAGAATTTTTAATTAATTTTTTTGAAATTTTAAAAGATTAGTTATTAAATAAAATCAATAATGAAAAAGTTATTAAGAAATTAAAAAATCTAATTAATGATTATTATAAAAGGTATAAATAAAATAGAAATAAATAAATTATTTTTTTTAATATAAAAAAATAGTTTAAATGATAGTCAAAATCAAATATAAGAAATACCAGAAAATACTTTAAAATAATTATTAAAAAAAATAAATTAAATGAAATAATAATAAAGTGAACAGACATATATATAATAATTATAAAATTAAATATAAACATAATAATAATAAAATTCTAAATAAATTTAATAAAAAGAAATAAATAAAGAAAAAACATAATAGGACGAATAACTATAAGAAAATATAGAAAAATAACAAAAAAATAAAACATAAATAGAAGAAGTTAAATAATATATAACAAATGAAATAAATATAGAAGAATGCTAAAAAAATGACAAATTTTAAAAACTTAACGTAGATGTAGAAAATTTCAAATTGCTTTTAGAAAAATTAAATTATTAAACAATAAAAAGTGCTGATAATTATAAAAATAGAAATAATAATAATCATTTAAATTAAAAATTATAATAAATTAAAAATTCGTAATATTATAAATAAAAACCTCCTCTTATGAAAAAATCTAAAGATAAAAATGAATTAGAATTTTTAAAAAATAAACTCAATTGTACTTTTAGACCTAATATTTCGATTACTTAAAGATATAATTAAAATGTTTTAAATAAATAAGATTCTGATTTTGTAAGAAGGCTTTATGATAGATCTTTTGTTTAAAAAAAATAAGAAGTTCATAATTAGTTTTTGGAAGAATAGGAGTTAAAATAAATAAATCAATGTACTTTTAGACCATAATTAAATGATAATTATAACCATGTTTAGAGCGTTGTTGTTTAAGAAATAGAATAATATAATAAATATATTTCTTTTTGTAAAAGTTTTACTATGAATTAATAATAGTAGAGTGAAAATAGATATAAAATAATGTATAAGTTAAAAAATTTTTCTTCACATTTAAATAGTGATTAATAAATAATTTGAAAATTTAATTTTATAAAAATAAAAATATATTATTAAATAAAAAATAAAGAAAAATGAATATATTTATTAATATATAATTTTTTATTTATTTAATTAAAAATTTTATATATATAATATTTAATAATATATTACATTTTTAAAATTTAAAATAATTTATATTTTATATCATATCTTAATTTTTATTTATAATCATTTTTTAAAATATATAAATAAATAGCAGATTCTTATAATATACTTTTAAATATAATAATATTAGTAACTATAAATCTTATATAACCATATAAATGTTAGAAGTTTTTTTATTTATTTATAATTTTTTTAAAAAAAGATAAAACAAAAATTTATTAAAAATATAATTAGATAACTTATTATATTTGATATATAAAAAAAATATTTTTATATATATAAGTAACTAGATAAATAATTAATTTTCTATAACATTATTATTATTATTAATGATTACAAAAAACAAAAGAGCTAAAAAAAAATTATATATTAATTTATTTTAAATCATATTTATTATGTATAATTTTATATTTTTCAATATTTTAAATTGATTATTATTTTATATATTATAAAATTAAAATTAAAAATATAAAATAAAATTATCCTTTGTTAAAATTTTCAAATATTTTAGTTTTTTTAATAATAACAATTTTATTTTGTTTTGCTTTAATTTTTTTTTTTTATAATTATTTTTAATATTGAGAAAATTTTTATAGTCTTTTTAATTTGTTTCTTTTAAATATGATATTAAAATTACTATTTTGATTAATTTTATTTTTCGATTAATAATTTAAAATCATATAATTATTTTAAATTATTTATTTATTATATATTAATATTTTTTAAAAAAATAATATATGATTATATATATTCTATTAAGATATTTTTAAATAGTAGATATTTAATTTATCTTCTTTATATCATATAAATTATTAGAAACATATTCATATTAGATATAATAATATGATTATATTTAAAAATTGTTTGAATTAAAAAAAATAAAAAAATTATATGAATATTTTACTTTATTAAATTTTAAATAATTATATTGTTTGAAATAAATTAATTCAAAATTAAATATAATTAAATTTTTATTTTTTTATTTTTAAAGTAATATATATATATATAAATATTTATATATAATTAAAATAAAAAAATGGAAAAAAGTGAAAAAATCCTTCAATTATAAATTTAATCTAAATTATAAGGATTTGGATATGGTTTTTTTTTTAAATAAAATTCCAAATAAACAATTTATATTAAAATAATAACAAAAAATAAAGACTATTAATACAAAAACGTTTTACAAATTGATAAAAACTGTAAATAATTCTTCTAAAATGATACTTCTAAATATATATTAAAAGATCGAACAATAACTACTGGAAGACCTGATTTTAACCTTCCAGATAATACTATATAAACAAATAAATACACTTATTTTAATTTTTACCAAAAAACATATTTGAATAATTTAGTAAATTAGCTAATCTGTATTTTTTAGATTTAAAAAAAAAAATAATAAAAAAATATTTTTTCTTAAACAAAAAAATAAAAAAGTTTATAGGAATAATATAAACTATTCCTTAATTAACATTATCTAATGGAGTTCCTGCAATTTTCATGCCTTTAGCATTTATATTCTTTATTACAGCTATAAAGGACTTTTTTGAAGATTATAAAAAAATAAGATCAGATAGAGATGAAAATAATTAAAAAGTAAATGTTTTTGACAATATAAGCTAGACTTTTAAATAAATTTGTTGTAAATAATTACATCCAGGTCATATTATTAAAGTTTATAAAGATCAATATTTTCCTTCTGATTTAATATTAATTTTTAGCTCAGAATTAACAGGTTAATTTTTTTTTTAAAAAAAAATATATATATATATATATATATATATATTAATAGGTTATTGTTATGTAGAGACCAAAAATATAGACGGGGAAACAAATTTAAAGCTAAAATTAGCAGATAAGAAAATTAAAAAACACATTCCTTCAGAAGATTTTTTAAATAAAGAACATCTTATAGTAAACTATGAAAAACCAAACTCTATTATATATAGATTTAGTGGAAATATACTAGCAAAAAATGGAGATGAGATACCCTTAGGGGCCCAAAACTTAGTATTAAGGGGCTCTAGTTTAAAAAATATAGATTATGTAATAGGTCTAGTAGCATATACAGGGTAATAGCAATATATATATATATATATATATATATATATATATATATATATATATATATATATATATATATATTTTTATTTTCTTAAAAAAATATAAAAAAGACACAATTGTAAAATCATGTGTAATGTTATGAAAGCTAATTTGAAAAAAAGCAAACTCGAATTAAAAACTACGAATTTTATTTTTCAAATTTTCTTTATTTAGATTAGTATATGTATTATTTGTTCCATAACTTATATTATATGGTATCATTTAAATGAAAATAAACTAGGATATTTACATATATAAAAAAACGAAATTTAATTCGAAGATAATAATTTTTTAAATTTTTTTTTAAGATTTGGAAATTGGGTATTAATATGCACGTATATTATTATTATATATATTTATGTATATGTCCTTTTTTTAAATTAAATAAAATATAGGAACATTATTCCTTCAAGTCTTTTAGTCACTATTGAAATGGTAAAATTTATTCAAGGAATTAATATTTCAAATGATAAAAATGCAGATTATCCTTTAGTTTATAAATCAAATTTAAATGAAGAATTAGGACAAATTAATTATATATTTTCAGATAAAACAGGGACACTAACAAAAAACATTATGGAATTTAAAAAAATTGTTATTGGTAGTACTGTTTATGGTTAAGAGAATGAATAATTAACAGATGAAGAAGTAAATAGAGAATTTCCTAAAGTAGAGCATGTAAACTTTAGAGATAAAAAATTTATTAATATAGTAAAATAGCCTAACCACCCAGAACATATGCAAATAATGTATTAGATATATATATATATATATATATATATATATATATATATATATATATATTTAATATAATAATTTTTACTTTATAAAAATAGACATATATTATTTATTCTAGCTTAATGTCATACTGTTAATTCTAATATAGATTTATAAGGAAATACTTCATATTCATCTTCTTCACCTGATGAAATTGCAATTGTAAATTTCACGAAATTTGTGGGTGTTTAATTTATGAAAATAGACGAGGATAATAATATTATAATAAAATTTAATAATACTGATTATACTTTTGAACTTCTTCATGTTTTTGAATTTAATTCTGATAGAAAACGTTAATCAATAATCGTTAAAAATCATAAAGGAAAAGTAATATATAAAATATAAAAATATAATATATAAACATTTATAATATAATTAGTATTTCTTATTTTGTAAAGGAGCTGATTATATAATTACAAATAGAAGAAGTTATTAATCTGACGAAGGTTAAATTTTTGAATTAAACGAAAATTAAAGGCTTTTGGTTTAAAAGGATTGAGGACTTTAATGTTTGCGTAAAAATAAATAAACGAAAATGAATATATATAATGGAAATAATAACTTGATTCTGTTTAATAAAATAGTTAGAACGTATTATATGATGTTTTTATACTTTACGATTAATTAGAAAGGGATTTGAATATATTAGGGGCTGTTGCAATTGAAGATAAGCTTTAAGATGATGTTCCGGAGATTATTACGTCTTTTAAAAATGTTGGAATTTAAGTTTGGATATTGACAGGAGATAAAATAGAGATTGCTATAAATGTAGCTTATTCTTGTAATTTATTAGATAATTACTTAAAGAAAATTATCATTGATTTAGATGAAGAAAATGAACTTTAGAATTTTTTACTTGAATAATTAAAAATTTTAGAAAATGAAAATAATTAAAATTCATAGGAAGAATATGAATGTGATTCTATTATAAAGTAAAATTAATCTAAAATAATACATAAAAAAAATGCACTTATTATTTCAGGTTATTCCTTAAATCATATAACTAAACCACATATTAGAAATTTAGTTAATTATTATATATATGCAAATATTATATGTTTTAATTTAAAAAAAGTTACTAAAAATTATAAAATATTGTAAATGTGTATTATGCTGTAGAGTATCTCCTATATAAAAATAATAAGTAGTAAATATAATAAGATAAAATGTAAAAAAATGGATAAATATATATAAAAATATATAAATATATAAAATAAGAAAAATATAAAATATATATATTTATACATATATAATATATATATATATATATATATATATATATATATATTTATATAATAAGGATTCATTATCTACAACTTTAGCTATTGGCGACGGTGCAAATGATGTCAATATGATTACTGCCGCACATTTAGGTGTAGGTATTATAGGAATAGAAGGATAATAAGCATCTAGAGCTGCTGATTATTCTATAAAAGAATTTCGTCATTTACGTAGCTTATTATTTTATCATGGGAGAGAATGTTATAGGAGAAATTCTGATTTAATAAATTATATGTTTTTTAAGAATATACTATTAATAATGCCTTAATTTTGGTATGGATTGACTAATTATTTGAGCGGATAGACTTTATATGATTCTATTTTATATTAATTTTATAATATTATTTTTACTTCTTTACCTATTATAGTCTACGCGACATGCGATTAGGAATATTCTGAGAGGGAATTATTATCGAATGAAAAAAAGAACTATTATTAACAAGGAATTAACAATGAACTTTTTAATTCCAAAATTTTCTGGAAAAGTTTTATTTCAGCGACTATTCAAGGCGGAATCATTACAATGATATCACTATTTGCTTTTGAAATTAATTTCGTAAACGAAGAAGGACGATAATAACATTTTTGGGCTACTGGAATTATGGTATTTGGACTTAATATTATTGTTTCTAATATAAGAGTTATTATTATTACTAATGAGTATAGTTTTTGGTTTTTTATATGTATTATTGGATCGATTTTGTCGTTTTTTTTTGCCTTGTTAGTTACTAATTAAATTATTTATTCTGATGTTTATTTTTCTTTTTATTAGTAAATATTCATTTGTATATATATTTAATTATATATGTATATTTAGGGTTTTTTCAAGCTTTAATTTCTATGCAGGATATTTTTTGGCTATTTGTGCAACTTCTTTATTTGATTTAGGAATATTTTTGTACTCAAGTAGGGTAAATTTTTTTGTTTGTATATATATGCATTTTATTATATATATTTTTTTATTATTCTAATTAATTAATTTTAAAGAATGGAGTTATTAATATGTACAAAATTAAAAAGAAAATAAATAAAATGAACTAGACAACGAATATTTAAAAAGTCATTTATCATAATAAGGAAGAAAAACAAAGGCTTAAATAAATATAAAAAATTAATAAATATCAGGATTTATTATTAATAAATTTAAATTTTAAATAAACTCTAATTAAATAATTGATAAAAGTGACAGTTCAAACAAAACAGGACTTCTATCTAGTCCTCTTGACAAAAAAACATGAACAAGAAAAATTAAAACAATAATATAAATATATATTAATAAAATAATATTATAAAAATAAAAAATATTTGAAACAAAAATCTTATTTTATATAAATTACTGAAAAATTAAATTAAATAATAATAACAAAAAAGACATAAGACAAAAATACATACAAATTAAACCAAAAAATAATCAACTATAACTCTTAAAAGAATTAAAAGAATAATTCAAATACGAAATCCCTTATTCCCATCTATTTTTAAGTTTCGGTACATTATAAGCTTCTCTCCCAACTGCCTAATCTATACTAACTCCATCTGGTACATTTAAAACATAATCCGGTCCTGGTTACATAAACATTGCAAAACTATTCCTCGAGACACCACTATTAATACTTTTAGATCCTCTAACAACACAATGAGGTGTAGCTTCAAGAAATCCTCCTGTAATAATTTATGCAGTTTCCCCAATTTAGAAAGCTAGGCAATCAGCCGGGATTTAAATTCTTTGTATTTCCGTAAATCTGTTTTTGGCATACAATCCACCTTCAGGATCACTAAAATCTTCAACTATATTACCCTATGAGTCCGTATATATAGCACCACATAAACCAGTTAAAGCTGCATGGTCATTATGCCAGCCACACCAGTCGTCATCAATATTTTTTTATTTATTACTAGCAAAATAATGAAGTAGTCTAGCCAATGGTTATTGTCCGTTTTTTACTATATCTTCCAAAGTGCCTATTTTGTAATTTGCTTATACACTATTTACATATTTATCGATATGATGAGACAATAAAGATCCTGTTTCTACTATTATTTTTCCCATATTCTTAAATACAGTTTCCAATTCCGGAATAGTATCTTTAGGCCATACATTAGGGCCATAAAAGGCACCGTTTTTTTTTTATTATTCAGTTAATTCTATAGGAATATCTCTTAAAGGATTAGCGTAAAAGCTACCTTTTTAAAAATCGTATTACCCTTTAAATTATTCTACACCATGACTCCAACCTATAGCGTGCATATATTCAGGTTTTGTTAATTCTTTAAGTTTTTCTTAGGGAAGGTGAGCTAGTTTATGGGCTAATGGGAGTAATTTTAAACGGGCTTAAGGGTAACCTGGGACGTTCTTTATTAAACATAAGCCTACTCCTTCAGGACCGAAGGCTTCGATAATTTTAGAGTTAAGGTTTAGGGATTGGTCTGAAATTTCGGAAAAGTCGAAAACTATTACTTGGGCATTTTTTTTTTATGTTTATGTTGAGCTCATTTATTTTATTTATATATTTTAATTTTTTTTATTTAATTAATTATTGTTTAAAAAAGAAGATTTTTTTTTTTTAATAAAATAAGATAAATTTAAGTTAAGTATAAAAGTTAAGTATTTTTTATTTTTCTTTAAGATTAAGTAATAATTAATAAAATTTAATTTTGTGAATATACCAACATAAATAATAATAAATAAATATTATTCAAAAACATATAACTATAAGATTATAAATAAAATGTGAATAAATTTGAATATTATATAAATAAAAAAATAGCTTATAAGTTAAATTATTGTTTTATGTTAGATTTTAATAAAAAAAAATAATTAAGAATAAAGAATAATATTAAAAATTATTTTTTATTAATTGTCTAATAATTTATTTAAAATATATAAATGAAAAATAATATTAAGAAATATTAAATAAAAATAATAAATAAAATAAATAAATAAAAATATATATTTATATATATATATATATACATATTTATATATATATAATTATATATAAATATATATTTGTTATATATTTTTTTTTTATTATTTATTTTTATATAATAAATTAATTATATTATATTTGTTAATTATAAAGAGATACATTAAATATTTAAATATATAATAAAATTATTTCAATTTTAATTTTTTTTAATTTTTCTTTCAGTATCATTTAAAGATTTACTAAGATTATTATTGAAACGAAATGAATTATAATTTCCTCTATTTTTTTTATTTTAAGTTATTTATTTAAGTACATTTTCTTTAATATTCTCATTTCCTAAATCTCCTTTTTCATTATTCTAATAACCATCCTTTTAACATTATTTTTTTTATAAATTATAATACTTAATTAATAGTCTGTCATAAAGTATTTTTATTTACATATATTATTTCATAATGATTTAGTTTTCATCTAAATTAAATTTATCTATTTATTCCAAACCATCTAAATTTTTATCTTAAATTTCAATTAATAATTCTTATTCTGTTGTTTGATTATACTAAATATCATTTATTTTATCTTATAATACTTAATTTTCTTCTAAAAAGGCTTCTATTTATTTCTACATTATAAGCTTATTTTAAACCAAATAATTATTTTATGTTTAAAGGTCTTAAATTTAATTTAAAAGTTGTATATTTTGTTAAAATTCATCTTCTCGATTTATATTTTCTTTCAATTTTTAATTTTCTTAAAAAAGCTTATTTTTTTAATTTTCTAAACTTTATATTTTTTCATTTTATTCTTTTATTTTTTATTCATAACTTTCTTTATAATTATTTTCTCCTTCTTTATACAGTTTTAGTTCTACATTTGTGTTTATGTATTTTTTGCGAAGTTCTACTATTTCTTAATTTTTATCATTTTGGCTATTTTCTAAGTCTTTTATTCGAAGTTTTAATTAATCGTCTTGTTTGTTTTTTAACTTGCCTTTTTATTTTATTTTTTTAAATAAATTTCAAATTTTATTATAATAAATCTGTCGTGTTTTTGTTTTTTTTATTAAAAAAATATTTATTTTAAATGAATTTATTTTTATATATTTTTTTACGTTTTGCCATTTAAGAGATATTTTTTTTTTCTCTTAGTCTATGGTATTTAGTTTTTCGATTAATTCTTTATTTTCTTTTTCTAATACTTATATTTTTTTCTAAGAATTAATAAGATTAAAGTTAGATAATTTCAAATGACTTTCAAATTTTTTTGCTTAATTAATATATTAGTAAATATCAATTTATTATTAAGATATATTAGTATTATAGTTTTCCAATTATTTTTCTATTTCTGAATATTTTAATTTAAATGAATTTAATTCTTTTAAATTTTTATTATTTTATTCTTTCAACAATTCTATTACTTCTTTTAAATGAATCACTTATAATTAAGATGTCTTGTAGTTATTTTCTATATTCGATATTTCATTTTATTTATCATTTAATGAATTATTTCTTGAATCATATATTAGTAATTAATTCTCTAATAAAGCATTTTTTTAAATTAGTTGTTATATAATTATATCTTATTCTTATATCTTATTTGATAATTAATATTTTTCAAAATTATCATTTTTTTCAGATTAAAATTATTATTATTATTATTATAATTATTATTATTATTATTATTATTATTATTATTATTACATATTTAATTCTTTATTTGAATATATTTCAGTATTATATTTTTCTATTGTATTTAATTTATTTTCTTAATATTTTTTTTTTTATTTTTATTCTTGCTATATATCTATTTATTAAAATTTATTTATTCTTTTAATTTTTTCATCTTTTTTACTTTATTATAATAAATATTATTATTATTATATGTTTATTTATGGATTTTAATATATTTCAGTTATTAATATTTCATTTACATCATTATTTTTTTCATAATATTATTAACTTTATTTTATTTATTATAATTATGCTTCCATTTATTAAGAGTTTATTAATTTTTTAGATTATTCATCGATTATACTATATTATTATTTTTTTACTTTTAATATTTTTTTTAAAAAAATTTTTAATACTTTTATGTATCATTTTAATTTTTAGAGTTTCGTCTGGAATAAAATATTTATTTGTTTATTTTATTCTTTTTCATTTTATTTTTATTTTATATATTATTATTTTAACAACTTTTTTTTAATATAATAAATTGTTAAATTTAATAAAAATTTTATATAATATTTTTTTTTTAATTTTAAATGTAATTAATGATAATACATATATTATTATCAAGATATATATTTTAATAAAATAAGGATAAATATGAAATTAATATATTTTTTTAAATATATATATATATTTATATAATAATATATATATTAATATTAATAACATATGTATGTATATATTTAATTAATAATTTAAATCTTTTTATTATAAATTATATAATAAAAATATTTATATACTATTAATTTTTATAAGTTATTTAAAAAAATAAATATTACTTAAACACTATATATTATATTTATAAAATAAATACTTTTTATATAATTTATATTAAAAATATATATATATATAAACATATAATTATCTATTTTTTTTTTTTAACAAAAAAAAAAAACGAATAAATATCAATTTATATATATATTTTTTTTAACAATTTTTTTATTATTATCTTATAAAATATCATCAACTTTAACTTATTTTTTGTTAATCTTTTTTCAGAAAAATAGTATAATTTTTTAATTATTAATCGTCTTCCTTTTTAATGTTTTTGCGTATGTCTTTATATAATCTAGTTTCCGTTTCATTAGTTTTTCCAATAATTAAATAAATCATAATTGAATCATTTTTAAATATTTAAATTTATTATTTTATTGATTCTTTAAGTTAATTATTATTATTAAAGTTTTATTCTATATCTTTATCAACTTCTATTTATTCAAACCCTTTAAATGACTAAATTTAATTTTAATCGAACCTGTTTTTTACTGGAGATTTTTTTATAATATTATTTAGAGTATTTTAACCGCTATATTAATTATTATTTGAAAAATCATATCCAAACCGATTCATTAAAATTTCCTAATAGCCTTTATTTGGTTATTATGGGAAATCTACTTATTAAAGATTATCTAGACTTTCCTCTTTTACTTATTCCATATTTATTTGAAATTTTTCTAAAGATAATTTTCGTGTTTATTTTCGTGCTAATTATCTTGTTTCTGGCTTTATTTCTATTGTATTTTCTTTAATTTATGAATTTTTTTGGATTATAGGGATACTTTGTTAATTCTCTATTTACGCTTTACTTTCTTTTTTAAATTGCAATATATTAAGATTTATTTTCGATTAATTTTAAACAGATTATTTTTCGGAGTTTTATTAATATTAATAAGGTTATTCTTAATCTTGTTTATTTTATATTTAATTTATATATTAATCAATTTAATTATTTTATAGTTAAAATGATTAGTTTTCTATCATTATGAAATTAATATCGTTTTCTATTTAAAATGGACTAGTATTAAATTTATTTAATATAGGATTAGTATTGTTATTATTTAATTATATTTTATTATTATTATTTAATTTTTAAGCAGAAAAATTTTCCCTTTTTTTTAAAGAAATAGAATTTAGTTTTTATTTAATATCTGATTAAATTTCATTATTTAAAGAAACTTTTTTTTGATTATTTTATAATAAAAATTCATTGGATTTTGTATAAGAATTGTGAAAATTTTAAATCGTTTTATTTTTTCGGACATCTGGTGTATTGATTTTTTTAGTTTTATTTTTTTATTTATTTTAATCAGAAGATGAAAGTTATAAATTCATCTTTTTTATCGTTTTTAAATTTTCTTCAAATTATTCTAAGTTTATTAAATCTTCAAATTCACATTTATTTGATTTTTCTTTTTTTACAAATTCTTCTTATTTTATTAATTATTCTTTTTTTAATATTTCTAATTTTTTTATTTACTCTTCTTTTAATATTAAATCTTCTTTATTATCAGTTTATTATTCTGTTAATTGATGCTTTTATTGAATTTTATGTTATAATTCTCCTGTAGAAGTTGTAAACTTCTTGTTTGAAGAAATATTATTTTAATTAGTTGTATTTTTTGTTATTTTATAGTCTTTTTTTAACAATTCGTTATGATTTTTTACAGGTTTTTTTTTATAAATGTCCAATTTTAATTAACTAGAATATGTGAAACATTAAGAAGGATTGACTTTATTTTATGTGATTATGTTTTTAAAATTTAACCATTCTTTTTAAAGTTTTTCATGTATTATAACATCATCTATTATTTCTAATATTTTTTCAATAAAAATTATAAATGATTATACTAAAAAATAATAATCAGTTTAAGTTTTTATTTCTTCTCCGTCTTTTATTGATTTTTACATATATATTAATATATATATACAATTTTAATAAATATATTTAATATATAAATAAATTAATATAAAAAAAATAATATAATGTATTTCCATATAAAAAAAATATATATAAAATAAATA